GTATTGGTTTTGCATCTGTATACCGTTCAGTAATAAAAATATTATACTGTATTCCCAGAAAACTGTGAATAGTATAATAAATGGATTTTTGACTGGATCAGATTTTAAACCACCATAAATATAAAACATAATTTTATGCCGTAAATCATCGAGGGCGAAATTAAACTCGATTCAAACAATCGTTTACAATCGATTTAGGATCACAGTACTAATCGCCATGTTACCTAAAGCGTTCAAATAATATCGATTAATGACCAATGTCACAAATATCTGCTAAAGAGTATACATTATAATTTTTTGTTTTTTTTTCCATGGACAATTTAAATAATACACACATATGAGACATAAACGTGTTGTCCCTATCCCCGTCGCTACATATTTCAGGGAATTATATCAATTCTAATAAGTACCTAAGTACATATTCCAATAATTGCAAAATACATATATTATATGCCATAATTATTGGCCACTAGACTAGGTAAAACAAATGTTACCTGCCTCAAATAAAACGATTAAATAAAAACTTTTCCTATTACATCCACTTTTGGAGACTATTTGCGATATCTACAAACTTTTTGATATCTTTGGACCATCGAAAATAGAACGTTATTTTAATAGCAAAAATTTACATTTTAATAAATTACCAAACCTGTTTTAATTGATTAAATATAGGTAACAAGTACTAAAGCCTCGATTATGATGACTTTATAGTAATTGTTTTTTTTCTTCTTTCACTGGCATCATATACTGTACAAAAAGATTTTTTTTTTAAATCATAATATCAGATTAATAGATTGCATTGTCCAATAAATGTGTGATGAGGCCGTTAAACAGACAGTAAGTTATACAATGCTGTAATGCTTAATCAAGATGTCCTAATTTTTATCCTAAGTAAAACACAATATGGTTTGCAAGGTTGATCAAATATTGTGTCTACAAAAATAACAGTGAAATATCAGAGAACACGCATAATAATAGTTAAGGTAGAAAAGCTTATCACAGATATAAGAATTTAAAGAAAAAGACTGAAGAATTATGCTACAAAGACAGTACTCTTCAATTATTATTATTAATCTTTACTGATGTGGCAGCCATAAATAGTCAAAAAGTTATGGGTATAGTATATCATGTATGTAAGTGGATAATTTTTAAAGAACCAAACAATAAAGAAACTTATTTATAAGAACAAAACTTACATTTCTCACTTGTATATTACTCTGTGTAATTAAAAAACCAAAAATGAGGTAATTACATTATGTAGTAAGATAAAATTTGCAACAATAAGATGAAAATGAAATCTTCTGTACTAAATTTACTTAAAATTGTATCATCAAACATTGTGCAATTATTCAGAATAGAATAGTGCAGCATTCTTCTATTCTAAATCTATTTTTTATTATGAGATGGAGAGGGAATGTCACACAAGGCATTTGTCTTGATTAATAATATAAGGCATTCCCATAACATTGCTGAATGAAATAATAAAATGGTAAATCAAACTAAAGAAGTGAATATTGTGACATCTGTGCTCAGCTGTTTGTTGGAAATTAAGAATTACTTAAACCATTTAGGATGCCAATGATTCACTTATCAAAATATTTTTTTCTTTCTTAAAGCACTTTTCAATGTGTTTAATATGGGTTTAATTTTTAAGCTAAAGTTTTTGTTTTGAGAGATATAATTTTATAAATTAATTAAGCATTAAAAATATGAATAATTTAGTGAAAAGTTATCTGTATGGCTGTTAGAATCTACTTACTTACACTAAGTAATTGTTATAATAATTTTTAATATAATATAACAAAATACTAATGATATCTTATTTAGCTTTTTATTATAAAATATTATAATGTAAACTTTTATGCAGTTCCATTTATATTTTTTTACCCATATACATTAGTCTTAACATTTATCATGTGTACGAAGTGGTTACTAGTTTTCTATGAAAAAATAATGTTTAATGCGCCATTTTAATGTATCTGACTGATTAAAATTTCCCGCCGTTTCTCAAAAACTAATGAACGAAACGTGTCAATCATAACATATACTTTCATACGATAATTAATGACTCTGGAGTCTGGCAGCCGTTTATTCTTGGCAACAAAAAAAGTGAAAAACAAAAAGATCAACAACAGATTGAAATACAGAAGGTACGTCAACATAGCATTCGAACTTTTTGTCATCTGTCAACGTAACCTCAAACACCGAATAACAATATAGCGTGTATAAACATCAATATCAACAGGATACTTAATTCAATTCAATAGAATCTTACCTATATATTACGAATTTTCTTTCACATATCTAAAAAATATGATTAAGCGAAACATGACGGAAGAAAACACGGCCATTTTCATCCATATACACAGACAACTTTTGTCAACTAGAGCTATCTTAACACAACTTACCCTTTCAACATCTAGATCAGTCCCTGTACACAGTCTTTTGGCACCACCGCCGTTGTAAGCCATCATGCACTTCAATACAAAAACACAATTACTTCACAACGAAACGCGTTTTAATAAAAACAATACGAACACACCGACCGCCTCAGATAAATGTTACAAGCAGACTGATTGAACGATCAACGAAGTACGAATGAATTCTAACATGAAGCGAGTCGCGAATGGAGTATGAATGAACGGAGCGGTAACTACTTGGGTGACCAGCTGTAGTGAAGCACGTTATTATTATTTTTTTTATTATAATATTTAGAAACAGCATACTCAAATGGCAAAAAATGTCATAGGCACTTTAATCCAAATTCTATACAATTAAAAGTTGGTAATTTGTGAAACTTCTTTAAATTTTTATATAAAAATAAATAATGGAGAAGTAAGACGAATGGCTTTATTGCGCAGAAGTAAAAAATAAGGTACCTGAGGGGGGCTAGCGGAATGAAGAGCGGGCGCGCGTAGCGTCGATTGGCTCTCCAGTCGCATTCCGTCCCCCGCACCGATACGACGCCCCGCGCACATCCCGTGTACAGTCGCGTCATTAATATTATTGTTACTGTTGTATTGTTACGTTTGAATTTGTTAGTGTTTTGTTGTTTGTTATTTGTTTTTAAGTTTGTTTGTGACTTGAAAGTGAGTATGCCTAGAACAAATACTGTTTTGAAAAGACAAGCCAGGAAAATGGTTTATGACGTGAATTGTTTTTTAAAAAGGGAATCTAACGAATTAATTGATTCTTTGAAACAAATCCAAAGTGAGATTGACGAAGCTACAAATACTTTGTTCAGTCATAATCAAAGTGGCATATAATGTATTGCGTGCGCGACAGTACACATGCGCAGCAATCCCCTCCACGTATCGGCCAGCACTAGACTTACGTGTCGCTGCCTATATATTGTGGTATATTACCGATAATCTTCCTAGTCTGTGGAGAAACGAAATAATTATATACTCTTTAGTAAATGCTCTATGGTAATTGGCATATTACAGTAAACATCAGCGATAGTAAATAAATTTATAAAAAAGAGAATTTTACATTTTGGTAAATTAAATTCATCGATTTTTTTATATCAGTCAGTAAGTCATTAAATACCAAGCATTATTAGCTTGTGATATATATAAAGTGTCAATAAATATGGCGTTTTTCGCGACATTATGAATATCTTAGGTATCAGCCAATCTAATGGAATGTTTTAAGCTATTTGTAAAACAGACGTATTATATAAGTATGGATTGTATAGAGGAGTATACAATAAAAATGGAATATTATGAGTGTTGCACTTGATCCATTAGATTATGTGCACTCATCAAAATGTTTTCATGGTGTTTAAGTAAATACAGTATAGAGGTGTGTATAAATTAAACTTACATTAAATATTACCATGTTTTTTATTTACATTATATAATTTTTAATTTTCGTTGACGCGTGGTTTAATTTATAAGCTGTATCTGTATTTATAGAAGAGGACAGACATAATCAAGATCCAAAGGTTTTCCATCTTTTTATTAGTATTTTTCTAAATTGCTATTGGTGCTGTTACCATTTTTTTTTAAACTTTTATCTTTTTACCAATAAAAAATGCCTAACTCATTATTTTACAATCTCTCAAACTCTAAACAACATTTAAACATTTATTTCCCAATAAAATATTATTGTGAGCCTCTGATTATCTTAACAAAGACAATGTCTTTTCATATTCCCTATTGTAAATATAATAATAGTCGTTACATTCATTACATTTTGAACCACATCCATTGATAAATAAATTAATTTAACAAATAATACTACACAGTTGATCTAGTTGTTTCAATATAGACTTTTATGTCTCTTCACTAGGAAATTTGGTTCCTCTTCAGGTTGAGGTTCTTAAAAAAATATTTAAATACTGTCTAAAATGTTGAGAAATGTTTTAGTTCGAATAGAGATTTATTTATTTATCACTTATTATTTTTCATGATTTTTTGTTATTTTAATAAAAAAGTAAAACAATAAAAATAACTGCATCACATATGTATATAAACAAATTTTCTTAAATTTTTTAATTGATATCATGTTAAAGTAAAACATTATACCCAAACTCAATTATTGAAGAACAAAATTTTAAACAATAAGAGAAACAAAAGAATAAATTGTCATGTTCGTAAGAAATCATTTATACTTATGAATGATTTAAAGACTTACATTGCTGATTTTCATCTATCATTCTTAATAAACTCATGTTATTATTGTAATGGAAATGAAAAGATAATTACTTAGAATATCCACATATATATTTCTACAATTAGACAAGTGCTAGTATAATAAGTAAATTTTTATACAAAGCTTTTTTCGACAGACTCGCAAATAAAGTTAATAAAAGCAACAGATTTTTCTTGATAATATTTTTATTAATCTACATATACCTATAACTACATTAAATTAAAGTTATTGTTTTTTTTTCTCAAAATGTTGGCAATTACAATGTCCTTCAAGTTTAATTGTTTTGAAGTTAGAACCTAATTTAATAAAAATTTATTGACTCTTAAGTTTTATTTTATCATTTTTTAATGTGGTGTAGGTTTGTGACCATCAACATAAAAGTTTCTTGTTGCTTTAGGTAATTTTAGTTCCATTCCTTCTAAGTCTTTAGTTAATGTTATTTGACATCCTGCAAAGACATTTAATCATTATTTCAAAATATGCATCTTTTAATGTATAAAACTATCATATAATGCTGTCACTTAATAATTAATACTTTAACTAACCTAATCTAGAATTTTCTTTTAAAAATGGGGCCATATCTAATAGATCATCCTCCTTTTCTTCAGATTGCGGCAGTTTATCAACATAATCTTGATTGACATATACATGGCATGTTGTACAAGCTAGTGATGCTTCACAAGCACCTGTGCAGCAAATTCATTTAATTAAGCAATGGAAATTGACTAATTTCAAAGTGTTTAGTATAAAATGCACCAACATACCTTCCATTTCTATTCCATACCTATGTGCTAAATATAATGCATTATCTCCAATCTTTCCTCTTACTTTAGTTTTGTTACCATCTTTGTCTACATATACTATATTTACGCTGAAACAACATTTTAATTAATAATGTAACCTGCAAGGGATGATCCAGAATTCATGTCTGGAATCAAGAATTCTTACACTTCATCTTCTGATTTAGGATCTTGCCACTCATATTCACCGTGCCTTAGAGCTAAAAACGAAATATGAATTTAAAAAACAGTTCAACTAAGTGCATGTAATAAGTATTTTGCTTGATTGAAAAGATGATATTACCTGACGATAAATAAAGGCTACATTTCTGAATACAATATTGTGAAAATATTCCTAACTCTTTTGTATTCTTACTAAAAAAACTTAGAGAACGGAGCATTCTTGTATACTACTATGATCACATAGCAATTTTATAGGAATATTTCGTATGAACTATTTGTATTACATGAACAAAAACATATAATTTAACATTAGGGTTATGCAAACAAATTTTTATTATTTATTGATAAATATAAAATAATAAAAGTTGAGTCAAAGATCAAAATAATTATAATGATATTATGTTTTTTTTAAATTATTAACTAGGGGGGGGGGGGGGGGGGGGGGGGGGGGGGGGGGGGGGGGGGGGGGGGGGGGGGGGGGGGGGGGGGGGGGGGGGGGGGGGGGGGGGGGGGGGGGGGGGGGGGGGGGGGGGGGGGGGGGGGGGGGGGGGGGGGGGGGGGGGGGGGGGGGGGGGGGGGGGGGGGGGGGGGGGGGGGGGGGGGGGGGGGGGGGGGGGGGGGGGGGGGGGGGGGGGGGGGGGGGGGGGGGGGGGGGGGGGGGGGGGGGGGGGGGGGGGGGGGGGGGGGGGGGGGGGGGGGGGGGGGGGGGGGGGGGGGGGGGGGGGGGGGGGGGGGGGGGGGGGGGGGGGGGGGGGGGGGGGGGGGGGGGGGGGGGGGGGGGGGGGGGGGGGGGGGGGGGGGGGGGGGGGGGGGGGGGGGGGGGGGGGGGGGGGGGGGGGGGGGGGGGGGGGGGGGGGGGGGGGGGGGGGGGGGGGGGGGGGGGGGGGGGGGGGGGGGGGGGGGGGGGGGGGGGGGGGGGGGGGGGGGGGGGGGGGGGGGGGGGGGGGGGGGGGGGGGGGGGGGGGGGGGGGGGGGGGGGGGGGGGGGGGGGGGGGGGGGGGGGGGGGGGGGGGGGGGGGGGGGGGGGAAAAAAAGGGGGGGAGAGGGGGGAGGGGGGGGGGGGGGGGGGGGGGGGGGGGGGGGGGGGGGGGGGGGGGGGGGGGGGGGGGGGGGGGGGGGGGGGGGGGGGGGGGGGGGGGGGGGGGGGGGGGGGGGGGGGGGGGGGGGGGGGGGGGGGGGGGGGGGGGGGGGGGGGGGGGGGGGGGAAAGGGGAAAAAAAAAAAAAAAAAGGAAAAAAGGGGGGGGGGGGGGGGGGGGGGGGGGGGGGGGGGGGGGGGGGGGGGGGGGGGGGGGGGGGGGGGGGGGGGGGGGGGGGGGGGGGGGGGGGGGGGGGGGGGGGGGGGGGGGGGGGGGGGGGGGGGGGGGGGGGGGGGGGGGGGGGGGGGGGGGGGGGGGGGGGGGGGGGGGGGGGGGGGGGGGGGGGGGGGGGGGAAGAGGGGGGGGGGGGGGGGGGGGGGGGGGGGGGGGGGGGGGGGGGGGGGGGGGGGGGGGGGGGGGGGGGGGGGGGGGGGGGGGGGGGGGGGGGGGGGGGGGGGGGGGGGGCCCCCGGGGCCGGGGGCGGGGGGGGGGGGGGGGGGGGGGAGGGGAAGAAAAAAAAAGGGGGGGGGGGGGGGGGGGGGGGGGGGGGGGGGGGGGGGGGGGGGGGGGGGGGGGGGGGGGGGGGGGGGGGGGGGGGGGGGGGGGGGGGGGGGGGGGGGGGGGGGGGGGGGGGGGGGGGGGGGGGGGGGGGGGGGGGGGGGGGGGGGGGGGGGGGGGGGGGGGCCCGCCGGGGGGGGGGGGGGGGGGGGGGGGGGGGGGGGGGGGGGGGGGGGGGGGGGGGAAAAAAAAAAAAAAAAAAAAAAAAGGGAGGGGGGGGGGGGGGGGGGGGGGGGGGGGGGGGGGGGGGGGGGGGGGGGGGGGGGGGGGGGGGGGGGGGGGGGGGGGGGGGGGGGGGGGGGGGGGGGGGGGGGGGGGGGGGGGGGGGGGGGGGGGGGGGGGGGGGGGGGGGGGGGGGGGGGGGGGGGGGGGGGGGGGGGGGGGGGGGGGGGGGGGGGGGGGGGGGGGGGGGGGGGGGGGGGGGGGGGTTTTTTTTCTCCCCCACCAAAAAGGTTTTTTGGGAAAATAAAAAAAAAAAAAGGGGGGGGAAGGGGGGGGGGGGGGGGGGGGGGCGGCCTTCCCCCCCCCCCCCGGGTTTTGGGGGGGGAAGAAGGGGGGGGGGGGGGGGGGGGGGGGGGGGGGGGGGGGGGGGGGCCCCCACCACCGCCCCCCCCCCCCGGGGGGGGGGGGGGGGGGGGGGTTCCTTCCCGGGGGGGGGGGGGGGGGTTTTTTTTGGGGGGGGGGGTTTTTTTTTCCCCAAAAAGGGGGGGGAAACAAAACAAATTTTTTTTTTTTTTAGAAAACGGCCACACCCGAAAAGGCGGGTGATTACCCTCTAATAAAATTCGACTATAGTTTTATACCCTATAATAAACCCTTGCCCTAGGGCTTGAGACAAAATCACTTTACCACAGGCGTAACCCACTAACGCCAAACGAATTTGTATGGAAATGGTCACGTGACTCAGTGTTCACAATCTGAAGCCAGGCAGATCCAAATTATCGTATCAGTCAGGAAAATGGCTAAAAATACTTTAAAAAAATCATATGAAACGTGACAATAATATGTTGCAAATCATTTATTGTTTAAATATTGTAAACTTGTGTTTTTTAAATTGAAAAAAATAATAATAATTCAAATTAAATGTTCGACGTATGGCACAGACCTGAGCTGGGCCCTCGTCCACTTCGAGTGTGATGAACGCGCCAACATTTCGAATTTATAAAGAAGAAAATAATGTTTAAGTACAGAGACATGAAAACAAGCATATTTTTTAAAAGTTTAACTGAATATATTTGCGAAAACAGAATACACACATATTAATGAAACTTAATGTTTTATATATATAATTTTTAATCTTTTCGTCAAAGAGGAACAAAAATACACAATATTTTCTCTTTGAACGATATGGTGTTCGCTTTAAGTGATATACCTACCTATCGTCTGTAAACATTGCACATTTATCACTTAAAATTCGTTTGGCATTAAAATGCTATCTAAATCTTCCGAATCTGCGTCACCATACAAATCGTGGATTGTTTTGGCAGTGCATTCTGATGCATTTTTATGTTTATACAATTAACACTTTGTTCATCCGACTGTATTCGCCTTGTGACAGCATGTGTTCCTAATAAAAAAATGAGCCAATAGATGGCACTTATACTAAAAATCTGTAATTGTTATTGGGCTATTGGCTATCTGTGTTTGTGTATTATCGTACAATCTGCGTACGATAGTCGTGTACCATCGTACATCGTACGTAGATATGAATTTATCGTACAGTTCCGAACGCTGAATTTAATATTACACGATCTCCGACGGAGATCTTCGCTACTATTTTCCAATATTTCCCCGCTATATAACTTTTATGCTATAAAACTACTATATGTACTTGTAGGTTTCTGGTGGACATCCTCTCTTATTTCTTCCCACTGGGCCATTCCAAGTACAAGTAGCGGCACGAAACTCTAGCGCTGACCGTTATTGCGCAGAAGTAAAAATAAGGTACCTGAGGGGGGCTAGCGGAATGAAGAGCGGGCGCGCGTAGCGTCGATTGGCTCTCCAGTCGCATTCCGTCCCCCGCACCGATACGACGCCCCGCGCACATCCCGTGTACAGTCGCGTCATTAATATTATTGTTACTGTTGTTACGTTTTGTTGTTTTTTGTTACGTTTGAATTTGTTACTGTTTTGTTGTTTGTTATTTGTTTTTAAGTTTGTTTGTGACTTTAAAGTGAATATGCCTTGAGCAAAAAATACTGTTTTGAAAAGACAAGCCAGGAAAATGGTTTATGACGTGAATTGTTTTTTAAAAAGGGATTTAACGAATGAATTGATTCTTTGAAACAAATCCAAAGTGAGATTGACGAAGCTACAAATACTTTGTTCAGTCATAATCAAAGTGGCATATAATGTATTGCGTACGCGACAGTACACATGCGCAGCAATCTCCTCCACGTATCGGCCACGGCGCTAGACTTACGTGCCGCTTATAATAAGTAGGTCTTTTTGACCTATCTGTCATCACAAACGCGGGCAAATTGTAAAAAATACCATAACCGTAACGTAACTCCAACCAAACAGTTTGGTTTGAGTTATAGTTTTTTTATACTTCAGTTATAGCCACGCTTGGAGTAAATATTTGGTTTAATTTTGTTGGTCTGGTTCCAGGCTTACTATAAATGTTTACGCGTTTTTTAAGAAAAAATAAATAAAATTCTTGTAAAAAAAAGCCTACTTTATTTATTTAATGTATGTTAGTTTCAACTTTTAGCCGGGTCTAGTTTTATTTATAATATTTATTTTTATTTGATGTTATAAAAAACTTCAATTCATACAAGAATAGCATGAAATAAGGTTCCCATTTAATACAGTACTCAAAATTACTTTATAGATGCAATAAACCATGCAGTAGCAATTTATGTATTAATTTTCCGGCCATTTTTGCATTGATTTTCAATTTGTGTCTACCCTTTATTTTGTTTTATGTGTTTGAACATTGAAACTGAACTGTCTCAACTCTAAAAGTATATTATGACATAATTGACTTTTGATAATGTCATAATCACAATTGTCAATTATCCATGAAATAATAACTTATTATCATCAGCACACCATAATTACTAAATTATAATAATATTTGCTTAGAGTTACAATATTCTTACGCTTTTACAGAATACAGTGAAAGAAGCTATGAAAGTAAAAAGGATGATGAATAAATATTAGTTAATACACATATCAATGGATTGAAATTCAGGTATCTATCAGGTTTATGTACAATGCTTAATGTAAACGAGGAAATTAATTGCGAACTAAGGTTATAGAGGTATAAGCTAAAGCTGGCTAAGTTTTGCAACGATGATAATATTGTGACGTGTATTTTAATTAGAGTACATAACCTTGTTGATTATTTAAATCAATCCAAGTTCCACATACATTATTGTTTTATATATTTTTATTGGTCCTATTTTAGTAGTAAAACGTCATAGTCATACGTTTATTATGTACTTTTTTTATTAACAACGGTCTTAATAATTAGTACATTATTTCCAATTTTTAAAATTAATTCTTACTCTGATATTAAATATTTCATATTAGAGAAAGAATAATATTGCAGAATTTTTATTATACACAACTATTACTGTATCTAATATAACGTGTGTTGTATATATATTTTACTCTAGTTAGAATTAGAACAAAATGGTGAAAAATGTTTACTTTTTTCAACAGCTAGAAAACATGTATATTAAAATATATTGCCTTTGTAACAAGTATTTTTACCTTTAATATTAATAATCTTACTTATGTTATACTAAAATTTAGGAATCATTCAAAGGAGTAACCACAATTTTTATTTTATATTTGTAATTTCTTTAAAAATTAAAATGTATTTTCTATATATATATAACCTTTCTCTGTACTGTTCTGTTATATTCAAAAAATAACAATCCATATTATTTTAGTAACACATTTATAAGGTCAGTTTATATTAAAAATACAAATGTAATGTATTTACTATGTTAAGTTATTATGTTTTTTATGCACTATTAAAATTAATATAAATATATTCACTTTTCAGATAATTTTAAATTGTAGATAATTTGAAATTTTAGAAAATGTCTAAAATAGAAGAAAGTACTGTAGACTTTAAGAAAAAGGGAAAAAATTATGAACGAAAAGATCCTACATCATTCTTGCCAGAAGAGCCTATGTCCTATGAAATCAAACCAAAAAAGAAAAAAAAGAAAAAGAACATAGAAGATCCTTTTAAAGACATTGAGGAAAAGGTTAAACTTCCCACTGTAACTGTATTTGATCCTACATCTGATTCTGCGTTAGATCCAGAAGTTTCTATTAAAGTTGAAAATATTGAAGTAGAGCTAGACTTCAATGATGTAAGTTAAAAGTAAAAGTAGTTCATAAAAATATAGAAAGTATTTTTGTCTTCTTGTATCAATATAATTGTACTAGTAGTAGCGCGGTGTGCTGAGCGACACACAACCCACAAATGAATTAGGGGAAAGGTCACATCTACGGAAGGAGAGAATGTCGTAATGATACTTGTGAGAAGTTGAAACATTTTCTATTCCCAACATATACTTTATGTAGAGAATGCGCGGTTGTGAGAATAGGGGGGTTTCATGAAAAGATGTAGGATCTTTTCATGCAACACATGCACTATGAAGTACGAAAAAAATCATACTCCCTTAGAATCGAAAGGCATGTCAATTATATGTAGAAATGCTTTCAAATAAAAAGTCAAACCCTTTCCGCTCTCGGTTAACTTCTGATGTAGAGGCTCAAGGTGGGCTGTTCATCACACAGAACGCGTTTTGGGGGGCTGGATACTTATATGTAGATTTTCTTTGCCATTTTTATTTCAGCTACATACACCCTGGAAAATTGTATTGCCGCTAATTGGGTAACAATAACTCGTTCCACATCTCTACTACCGATTCCTTAGTTTCATGCCCCTCTGATACTTATATTAAAAGCTGTAATACTCCTACCGTTAAGTTGGTTAAATAGGGCGTTCTTGGACGCTCTATACATTCGAATTTTTTTTTTGACAATTTAAAAAATTTGCCTTCTAAAAGCACCCCCTGTTTTGTGTTCATCCTTACATACCTATTCCATCTATCACCGTTTCCGGGTGTCGTTGAATTTTACTTTGTATGGAAAATGAAAACCAGAGGTCTGGACAAATTTTCAACTTTACAGATGTAATACACGGGTTGATTAATGTATACAAATCAATTTTCAGCGCGACCACGCGAGAAACACCAAATGTGCATTTGTATTCCGGCCATCTTTTTTCCTACCATTTTGATTTTTTTCTATTTTTTTATTCTCTAATGACTCAAGATTTCCTACAACTTCTGCTAAAACACCCCAATTCTCTTATTATTTGGCATGGCAACAGCTTCTGCTAAAACACCCCAATTCTCTTATTATTTGGCAAGGCAACAGCTTCTGCTAAAACACCCCAATTCTCTTATTATTTGGCCAGGCCATTGGCGTATACAGGGAAGCATGTAGAAAGTTCCAGATTTCTTTTTTTTATTCAGAACTGGATAGACGTTTGGTCACAATCCCACCTGATGTTGAGTGAGATGGGGCCTATCGAAGGGCTCGGCCTGAAGAAAGTTTAAAACCGTGTATACAATTTTTCAACGTAGCGCCGGCTTCTCAGACAATTCAGTTTGTTTTAGCCAAAATTCGAAAAATTTGGAAAAATGGACCGCCCTAAGTAGCTGATCAAAGTTTGTTCGAGCACAAACCCCCTATCTGCCACCGTATCGACGGGCTGCCGTCTTTTTTGTGGTATAAAAGTTGGAGACGGAGACCGAGACACAATATGTTTCCGGTGCGCCGATGTGCTGCTCGACCGAATAGAAGACACAAGCCACACACACGCCAAGTACGTTGGCTATCTTGTTTTTGGGTTAAAATTCCACTTCACTAAATAGCCACCAGTTCTTGACCCTAAACCGTCAACCTGATTACGCTAGGTGTCACTTTTTAGGCGGGCCGTTGAAAAATCATCGAATCTTCATACCCTAGATTTGCACGAGATTTTTCCTATACACGATCTCAAATCTATACGAAAACGTCAAAACTACTCCCCCTAATCCTCCCCGTCGAAATAAAAGGCGATGAACGAATGAAACGTGGTAATTCTGCTTATCATAATATATATATATCCTTATTGTTATAGAGCATTTTTTAGCATACAGTAAATTTGCACTCAAATATATAGTTGTTTATTTTTATGTTTCAGTTTGCAAATGATAATGGTCTTATGGTTGAAGGACCATATAGTGATGATGGACAGCCTGAAGCATTTGATAAACTTGGACAAGAAAACAAAAAAGGGGATGTATTACGCACTTTTCAAAATATTATTAATGATAAACCGCCTGTTGAAATACCAGATAACTCAGACATGGCTCCTAATTATGTTTGCAAGGTGTGCCATCTAGTCTTTCAATCACCTAAAACTTTAATAATGCATCAGAGAAGAAAACATAAGGTATTCCGAAGGTCTTTCAAACACATATGTGATTACTGTAGTATGTCATATGAAACAAAAAATAGTCTTGTTGCTCATATTAAAAGAAAACATGGTCCAGATTCAACACAAGATGATGGAGAGGAAAGGACATGTGAAATTTGTGCATTAGTTTTCAAAGGCATGGGTAGATTACGCATGCATATGCGGAGAAAACATGGTTCTTTTAAAGAATCTTTTAAACATGTTTGCAAGGAGTGTGGTCTTACTTATGAAAAACATAGAAGTTTGATTGTACATATAAGAAGAAAGCATTCAGGAATCATTAAAGTGGAAGATCGATATTTCAATTGTCCATTTTGTCCAATGGTTTATAATAAACGTGAAACATATGCAAGACATGTACATAGAAAGCATAGAAGAAGTGATGATGATTCTAATCGTAAACTAAATAATGATATTATGGGAAACATAAAAAATACAGAAACTGGTGAACTATGTTGCACTGAATGTCCATTAGTGTTTTCAACATTAACTTATTTGAAGTTGCATATGCGAAGAAAGCACAATGCTATGAAAGAAGATTTTCGTCTGAAATGTAAAATATGCAATTTATCCTATGATAAAATTGAGAGTCTGAAAAGACATGTGCGTAGAAAACATGACAAGGTGACATATTGTGATATCTGTAGAAGACAATTTGACACACATGAGGCTTACTTAGGCCACACGCATGCTAAGATTGCAAGAGAGTGTCCGGTTTGTGGCCTTATTTTTGCATCGCAAAGTGGATTAGGCAAACATCTACGTTGTGCACATGAAATTGCTAAGCCGAAGACAGTTATTTGTCACCTTTGTAATGCAGCTTTTCATACCAAGAGACAATTGAAACCTCACTTTTTACGAGTACATTTAAAAGTATCCTATACATGTCAATTCTGTAAAAAAGTGTTAAAGTCAAAAGAAACTTATACACGACATATACTTATGAAGCATCATAACGATAAACCCTCTAGTGATTTACAAATATGTGAACATTGTGCTGCTACATTTTCAAATGAATTGGAACTTAGACGACATTGTACTGAAGTACATAACACAAATGAAATAAATGATTCAGATGATGTTGTATTAAAAAACGAATTAGAAACCGATATTGCTAAGGTATCAAGTGATATTGTTATAAAAAAAGAAGAAGTTGATATACCAACAAAATATCAGTGTACAAAATGCCCAGAATGTTATCCCAATTGGGATCAATTAAAATTGCATTATGAACAAAATCATTATGTGGCTAAGGAAACACAATGTCAACTTTGTGGGGAATTGGTGCCAGATAATGAATTAGCAAAGCACATCAAATCACATAATGATACAACAGTACAATGCAGGTATTGCAATTTCTCTTCAATCAATAGGGCAAGTATGACCCAACATTTGCTGAGACACAAAAATGCAACAACGATTAATTGTAGCTTTGAAAACTGCAAATATAAAACTTTTTATGAAGATGCAATGGAGAAACATAAGAGAAAACATATTGATCAAGGTGTAAAACTTCAATGTACACAGTGCCCTTTTCAAACGATGAATAAATATATTTTAAAGTATCATGAAGAAGCACACGTAACTGGAAAGAAACGTTATGCATGTGATCAATGTGATTATGCTACCATACTACCAGCGGCATTAGTTCAACATAAATATAAACATTCCACAGAAAAGAGATTTAAGTGTGAGGTGTGCCCATTTGCTACCAAGTACAATACGTCACTTCGTTTTCACGTTAAAAAGAAGCACTGTGATCTTCCTTCATGATCATATTACATGCACTGCATAATATTATATGAACTCTGTTATATTTTATGCAGTCACATAATATTTTATATTATTAAAAAAAAATTGGTGTTTCATATATTTTTCTTATACTTAAATAGGTACTGTTTATTAACTCTGATCCAACTTCAGTTATCTATAAATTGAAAACAATCAAATAAAAAAATGAGATCCACATTAAAAATTCTACAGAATTTTTAACAATAGACAATATTAATTATTAAATATAAATGCCTAGTACTTGTGATAATTGCTAACTATTATCACAGAATAGAAAGTCTATGCTTGTTTCGTCCATTATTCTACCTGACGCACAGAACATTATTACTTCTAGCGAAGAAGAACAACTTCATTCTAAAAAAATGCTTACACCAGCGCTCCAGTTAATGCCATCGGTACTATCGTATGGCGCGGGAATTTAAAATGGTATGCAAGTACAAAATTTTAAGGAAATGTAGAGAAATAAAACAAGAAGTGTACATGTGTTACAATTTTATTAAACTACAATAATTAATAATGTTAATATCACAACACAAAAGCGTCAATTTTGCACAAAAGGGTCTCTTCGTAATTGATGATTATACAGCACAATTAGCTTTGTTGCAGTAGCTCTCGTTTCAGCAAGAACTATTGACGTTAATTCAAACACTGAACTTTTGTTAATGAATCGGGCGGTAGAAAAGAAACACCAAAACGATTTTGAGATTTTCACTTCACAACTTCATTATTTTGTATACAATGTTACTATTAAAGAAAAACTTGAAGTCCTTTGAAAAAAAATAGTAAAAAAAGTTTTTTATACATTGGTTATGTACCCAGTATAGCTTTATATTCTAATAAATGTAATCAATAGCCATTATAATAATAAAATAATATGTCTATAGATACTGATGTTATTAACATTAATAACAAGAAAAAAACCCAAAAAAGTTTGCGAACGTTGAATAATTTTAACTAACAATATGGTAAATATTTATTCAATCAGGCAATATTGATCTGGATATAGCTGATTGCTTCTTTTGTAGAGCGCTTTCTCATTTTCACAGATAGTGCCATTGTTGGCTGATGCATAAGCTGACGGACTGATCTGACGTCAGACAGATAACAGATTCTACCCGTAATATATAATATTTTCTGTTTATTCTACGCAAACTGCAAAGAATCTGTGGGTCTACAACTCTACAAGGTATAGTATAAGGTGTTTTGTCCCTTTTTATCATAGGACAAACCTTTATGTAGAAAAGAATAAGATATGGAAAAATAGATAACATTTAACAACGATCAACGGCAAAACTCAATAAAAGTAGAAACTAAGAAAACCCGAGAATCATCGGGAAAACTCTAAAATCTAAATACATCATCATTAATTTTACATTAGCGTATTTAGTGTTATAGCGTCTTCTACATTACGTGATAAATAAACAGTGCTCTATTCCTTGCTTTTCTCCGTGATTATTGTGTGGCAAAATGGATTTTTTAAGTCTGCCTGTCGTCGTGGTAGAAACAATATTATCATATTTATCGTACGATGAAGTTTCTAAGTACAGAATGGTAAGCGGACATTTACATGACTTATTTATAGTTTTTAATAATATTCTCTATTATTATTTTTGCTGATTTGGTCTGATCTAACATAGAATCATCCTCTTTTGTAATCTGTTAGAGGTATAGAAATTGATTCTCAATAATATACGACTCAACGTGATTTCAAGTAATATAAATAAGGGACAAGTTTTATAAAAATCGGATGAATAAAAAAGTTAGAAGGTATTGTTTAACATAATAATTTCAACTTGTCTTTACTCCAAAGATCTAAACTTAGCTTACATATAAAAATGAATGAATATGATAAAACTGCTTGTAAATTATGAAAAGAAGAGAACAAATAAACTATGGGTAATAAATAAACTGTTTTACAGGTGTCCAAAGGTTTCAATGACATATGCATGAGGATGTTAAATCGTGGATTCCTGATGATAGAGCGGCGACATGCATTAGCCTTAAAAGGTGTAAAAGCACAACTGCCTCGTAGAGAATCTGAGCGCAGGTTTGCAATACCATACATTTATTGACTTTGATTTAAAATATCTTTATTAACAGGGTTTATTGAATAATGAATAATATCTTTAAGGTAATGCAACTACACACTAATTTAAAGAAAACACTTTTTTAACGGATTTAAGCTATGTATAATCAAAATCAATCCGTGAAAAAAGTTTTTTGTTTAAATGTCTAAAAGTGATGTTAATAAAAGACAATACTATACACACTATTTTATAAAATTATTTTAAAACTGAGCACATATGTAAAAACAATTCTGCACTAGGGTTACACTAAGTTCCTTGAAATTCTTCCTTTATGTAAAACATATCATGCTTGTGGCAAGAAATCCCTAAAATTTATATATATATATATGTGAACATGTTTAAAGTTTTAATTGTGTGTATAGTATGTTTGTACAAATAGAATTTTGACCATTTTTATACTTTGAAAAGAAATATTTTACTATTTACTATTAATTAATTGCCATACATTGCCATTTCGGAAGTGTCACTTTTGTGATGAATCCTACATAATCATATATTAGATGCAAAATTCCTTAGTTTTAATAATTTTATTATTAATATAAAGTGGAAAAGTGAATAAATTACAGCATACATTTATTTTATTTAGCCCTCAACTTTGTATAATAAGTAACTATATTTTGATTACTGCTTTTAGATATCATCCTCTGGCTAGGCACTGTGATATTTTGACATCAATTGAAACAAGAATATCTATGCTGAACATGACTTATTCAAAATTTATGGATTGTGGTATTTGCTGCTTTATACCAGGGAAGGTAAGAAATACATATAATCAAAAGATTTCTTCATGCTATACTTTTTACTAGTATTAATTTAATACCTCAATGGCTCACCTAACATACTAGTAGTAGTTTAGTAAGTAAATATAGAAAGTTTGTTAGAAAAATTTATTATTATTGTCTATCTAAAATGTTTATGATACACAATTTTGCATTTACAAGTTTACATAATACAGGAATTGACCATCTTTGTGAGAGGCTGGTGCCTATAATAGGACTACTGAAGTCCTGTGAAAACAGGTCACCTGAATTATAATGAAAGTATTATTATTAAGTTATTAATTAATTTCATACTAAATATATGTCTGCAATCTTTAGACCTACCAAACTGCTATTTTATAAATTAAATTATTATCTCTTGAAATCAATATATTATCCTGGACCTCTTTACGCTTGAATCAATATTATGCGTTTGGAGACGATTGAAAAGACGCAAATATGATTTTCAGGTGATAGACGAAATTCGTCGTGTTCTCAGTTTAGTTGAGACGTCAAAAACTCCGCCACGTGCGCATGAAGTGTTACAAGAGTTGCGAGACATTTCTAGCATGGCTATCGAGCATTTTGATGATAAAGTATCGCCTGACTTCCGTAAGAAGTTACACGAGGGAGTCCCCATCCCGGAACCCAGGCCATCCCAAGGTAAATCATGTTATTTCACTAATACCTGCAGCTGAGTTTCATCATCGGACGTCACGGCAGAATACAAAATAACATCCGTATCACCTTGACGTCCGTCGTTCCACAACTGAGCGCTTCGTAAGGCAATTTCTGCCGCGCACCACCACTACGTGGTACCAGCTGCCCACTGAAGTGTTTCCGAACCAATTCGACTTAAGGTCCTTCAAGAAAAGAGCGTACCATTTCTTAAAATGCCGGCAGCGCGCTCGCACTGCCGAGTATTCATGGGCGGTGGTATCACTTAACATCAGGTGAGCCTCCTGCCCGTCTGCCTCCAGTAACGTAAAAAAAAATGTTGATTTTATAAAATGCATGTTAATCGGGGGAAATTATCGTTGATTTTTTTTCTTATTGGATTATTTGGATTCTTAGACTTTACGTTAGGCCCTCTAGAATTTTTGTGAATTCAAAGACTTTAAATACTAGGGATTATTTATGTGATGTAGAATCATTCATATGTATTTTTTTAAAACTTTCTGCGCAGTCGCAGTTAAGTTCTATATTGTGTGAAATACATTGTCTTCAAGTTCGCTCGGTCCTTGTGTTTCGATTGTACATCAATCTTTAACAAGAGAATACAAAGAAGGGCATAAGCTGTGGCTTAACTAGTTTTATTCAATTAAATTTGATTGGTCCGTCAACAATTAAAAGAATCACCCAACTTGTGTCGGAAGGAAACTGTCTGGTTATTTTTATTTTATTAAAGAAAAAAACCTTCTTTAATTAATTTTGCATAGCGAATCATTAGCCTTCTGTACCTCATTTGCACATCTGTACATCATTTTACAAAATAAATTCTCTGTATTGTAAAACGTACCTTATTACATAAGTGTTAAGGTGATTTATTAATTTATGTGACTGTACTAATCAGCTTTGTAATTCATAGAATACTCAAATCTAAACAGGATCCTAAAAAACTTAAATGCAGTGTTAATTATATGTAGTGTCGATAACGTTTTAGAGAATTGTTATATAGAAAGAGTTGTTGTCCGTGCCCTACGTACGTGTCGATGTACATAATGTTTTCAGTCATGGGGAGCGTTCAAGTATTACGTAACGCGTTTTGGGAGGGGGGGGTCCTTTTGTAAAACGTTACGATGCGGGGCGGGGATTGAATTACGCGTTATTGTTAATATTATTTTCGACTTACACCACATAATAGTAACTAAAGAGACACAAGGTGGTCACGAAACGTTTTACTATACTTGAGAACAGTACTGTACTAGGGTACTGAAAAACGTTACGGGGGGTTCAATAATCTCCAAAAATTGCGTTACGTAATACTTGAACGCTCCCATAATTATAGTGTTTATAAACAATTCATAAAACTGAAATTAATTTCAGTTTCCTTACTGCCACTAGCACTCCGCCAAGAGATGTTGGATCTTCGCCGTCGTTCTATATTGAACGCGAAACTGTCCTTACAAGTAGCTTCGCAGTACAAAAGGTTTTATAAACGGGTGAGATTGATTGAAATTTTGAACTCATGCAGATTTTTTATATTAAAAATATTTATTTGTCAAACGTTGTGTCTAGAAAATTTAATATTGGATACTGTAGAGATACTGTAAACGATTTGAAGAACAAACTATTCGTTTTTGCTACAGATCGTAGAATACAAGCAAATTGTCTGGAGGCAAAGGAAGACCATTCGGGATTTGAAAAAGCGGCAGAGAGATCAGGACGCTTGTATGGGTAAGTAAAAACACATTTAAATATAAATGAGTTCACTTTGTAAAAGAGAACAAAAGACAAATATACAGTTTTAAAATCTTTATAGTGTTTGTATAGGACACGAGGCCTTTGATGAAGACACCGCCGCCCAACTCCAAGTGAGAGTGTTCGCGTGTGCGTTGCTGGCATTGGAATTGGGACACTTTTAGAGGATCCTATATGGAAAACTTCGATTTGGATTCATAGTATATAAGCTGTTCCCAGCTGTTTCACCCGCTATTATTAGTCGCAACATGCAATTTAATTATTTCAACTTGTACCAGGAGTGCTGCAAATTAGCCTGTTTCACCAAACCTGTCTATTTATCCTCAATGGCCTCACTGAAAATCAGGTCATGATTATGGCTTGCCCAATATCCCTCTCGGGCCAAATAAACAGCACGCTGCAATATTTTTATCTTTCTTTCTGACCATTTAATGTTTTTAGCTGACTTGAAAAAACGGATTGAAGAATGCGATATAAAGTACAGCAAGCTCACACACACTGACCAGACTGTCGGAGGGTCTGTTATTGCTGGTAACAGAATATTTAGTATGTTTAATCTATTAATTATACTATAATTCTCATTAAAAACCAAATGGCGATAGCGTGCAATTTTTTGAGGCCCTTAAGTTCGATCCCTGGCTAATGGACTGTTCTGTGTGAATTTAATTTATTTGATTTTTTTAAAATATAATTAAATATCCATTTGTGTCTCGGTAATTGTTTAATACGTTCGGTGTTCGATTCCCAGTGGAACAGAAATTGTGTTGGTTTGGAATAATTGTGAAGAAAAATGTATGTATTCTCGTGTTCTCTAAGGACTTCATTTATTTTTTATATTACTTTAACATAATTTAGACTTATTTTATTTGTGTAAATTGAAAATCATTTACCGTAAATAAAGAGGTTTCATTCAATAAACGTGTGCGACAGGAGATATGATGTGCGAAAATGGCGAACGAATGCAGTGCGTGCTTTGAGCTGTGTTCAAATAATAATTTGCCTTCCGTCCCATAAAAATATCCTACATTGATTTGATATTGGTTCCTTTTTTTTATTATTTTATACGTAAAAATCTGACGCATTTCAGCATCAGCGAATGACAGTTCAGGAAGTGTTGCTCCGCTACGTCACTTCGGTAGTCAGATTAAATTGGATCTGTCAGTTTTGCCGATTGGAACTAACAAACGAAACTCTAATAAATGTACGTATTGGAGGCATTAATATGAGTGAAACCGTAAAGTTTTAAATAGAATCGGGAATCGAACTTTGGACGTGTCGTCGTGTCGTAAAGAGATTTTTTCCGGGATTCAAACTAACGCATTTCTCAAACGAATATATATGCCAAAGCGATTGCCAGAATTTCATTAGTCTCTTCCTGCCTGCAAAAGTTATTTGTTGATAGTAGAGAAGATTTTTTATATATCCTGATATTTTTCTTAATGACATCAATAATGATGCGTTGTATAAATTTTCAGTGTTGCCAAACATGAAGCCGCGAAAACCTCAAATAAGACTGCCAAGCTTATCTGAAGATGTTGATATGGATTCAAATCCAGTACCTTCAACGTCAAATCAGACTCCCCGCCAAAAAACCCAATGCACTATGGCCAAAATAAGGGGAATCACCGCTGAGATTCGACAATTGAGTAATCTGTCAAAAACCATAGAGGGAAAGCTAAAACGTCCCCGTATATCAAATTCTGAAGAGTTGGAGAATAAAAAACAAAAGTTGCATTAGTCTGTTGTTTGTGTTATCTGTGGATGTGTATATTGCGATGTCTGTAAAAGCTTTTGTCTATGCGCTCTATAAGTTAAAAATAGACAATTATTTGATTATAGAAAAATCGAAAATAGAACGATTATTATCTGTTTTGATCGTTTTCATTTGTGCAATTGAAACGATTTGCAATACTTTTGCAAATTCATTTTAGATGGACATATAAATTGAATATAGGTATTAATAGTTAATTAATCTATGGTCTAACAGTTATAACATTAAAAAAGATAAAATATAGAAAATGTCTGGTTCTCTTTACTAATAGTTTCGTATCTGAAATATGAATCAATTAACAGATCCAGGATCCTATCACTGTATCTATATAATTTCATAATTTTATGAACAAGATTATATTTAGATATAGATTTAACCTCCAGAAATTATAAAGCTATTATTAGTGTATTGAATAATTTGAATTTGGCGATTGATACATTATTTTATGCTCTATTGTGCCATACTCGCTCAAGTTTAATAAAATAATCTTAAATTAATTGGTGCACATCTTTGAATTGTATGATTGCTATTATATATACTATAATAATATATTTACATACTAAAATATGTTTTAGAAAGGGGCCGTTCAAGTAATACGTAGGCACTATAGGTGGGATGAGGGGTTATTGTTTTTCATATTTGGTGATTACGTCAAGAATAATTATTTACTTTTTGAAGTTATACTTCTTTAGGCGCGTTATGAAAAATTGATGAGAGTGAAATTTTACGATGCGCGCGCACCTGAGACACAAAGTTGTCAGTGTGATTAAAGCGTGCGCGAGCGAGATGGGAATAAGACAATCTACAAGTAAAAAGAAATAGAATATGCGTGAAGTTAGCAGCTATGCCAAGAATTTTGAATGAACATTATGACATTTACCTTTTAAACAAATAAAGGAGTTTTAATTAATTTTTCAAAGAAATTTAGCAATGATTTTTCACAAAGACCTATTGTTACTTATTTAAAAGGTTATGAAACATACGTAGTTATTGAATTGAATGAATAATATAATAAATAATAATAATTATTAATATTAATTAATAAATGAATAATATACTAAATATTATTAACGATAAATATTTGTTATTAATTATTTTAAAAAAATAAAGAAGTATAACTTCTTACGCGCGTACATAAGTACACGCACCCTTTTTTTTTAAACATATTACTCACGTCTATGCTTGAAAACGAAATACGTTTATTTATGTACTATTATTTTTGAGAGGTTTTCTTACTTTTGACTAGTGGAGTTGGGGGCGTTGCAGTAATTCTGCATGCGTAATACTTGAACGGCCCCAAGGACACGTAGCAAATGGGCCCAACCTAAACATTTTCCAATACTAATTCGCGCCAGTGCGATATAGCTTTTTATAGAAGAAACCGAATTGATTATGGTCCGCTCCTCAGTTGTTTGAAAAGGTTTTGACGTTTCTCTTTACCTTATTAGACGTGGACTAAAGATTCTTTGGAGAAAGTGGTAAAAGTAATTAACATTATTCGTTTGGTATTTGATGGGATTTGTTGCTTTGTATTCAAATCTGCATCGGCCAATCGCAGAGGCCTTTTCTGCCATGGTTCTTCTCAATAGCCATGATTTTAAGGGCCTTCATGTACACGGGTATATCGCAGATGGTAATTGTCTATGCGCAACTAGAGATTATATTCAAAATTGCCAACCGTGAAAACAATCTTCAGAAGATTTGCAGCCTCTGTCCTAATTTCTATTAGCCGCCACATTGATTCAAAGTCATCAAAAGGCTCAAATTAAATTTAAAATAGAATTAATAAATTAGTTTTCAATTTCCAAATCATCAACACTTCGTATTAACACTAAGTTTATTTTGAAGATTATCCAAATACGCTAAGATTTTTGCAAAAACAAATTATTCAAAATAATCGGTCGTTGTGATATCTATTCTACGTAATGATTGTGGAATTTAATTAAACAACAATTTTTTTTAGTTTATATAAATTTTTACTTATAGTATTTCGTTGAACTGAAACGCAATGAAAGAAAGGTTGGTAAAGAAGAAGAGCGTGTGATTGACTTATTTTTACTCGTACTATGGCCATTTATAAAAAATTAAATAAAAAGCGGAAACAAGAGAATCATGCCTCATATAAGATAACTTATAGAAGAGCAATATTGACTGTGAAAGTAAAAAGAATATATATATATATAATATGTATTACTTTATTATATAGTATAACTTTATACTTATTTAAGAAATTCTGTTAAAAGTATTTTTTTTAAAGTAATGAAGCTACATATAAATTGTTTACTAATGTTTAGTAAAGGCTTGTCATATTTGGTGTAAGTGGGCTGATGAATGTTAAACCTTGTAGAGTTATTTTCAATTATACCGCCTAAAACTGTCTGTATCGGTGAATTTAGCTTATTACGAGGAAATAAAATATGATTCAAATAAGAGGTTATTATTGTCCTAATAGAGTCCGCGCCACCACTGAATGCCGATAGACGCGGCGCTAGCGAGTAGCGCAGCGTAGTAATATGTTGCTAGTGCTAGGTGCAAGCCTATTTTACCCCAACGTAACATAAATTAATATGAAATTCGCGAACTACTCTCCAAGATTTGCTTCTAATGTTTTACCTTAAAACGAATAAAATAATATTTCACTGTAACGACAAATTAAGTTCCAGGGTTCCCGTCGGCAATGAGTGGTGGCGCGGCCTCTACCCTTATATTTTAGCCACAGATCCATAACGAAGCTATTATATCCATCTCTCTGACATATAAGCAACATACACGACAAATGTCATTCAATCTCTAAACAACTACAACCAGGCATGGGCGTGTTTGGCCGAAGTAAGTACTTACTAAATTTAGTAAGTCACTTACTATGCTTACAAAATTTTCGGCCGGGACACAAAATAAGTGCTAACGCAGTAAGTATGGCTTAATATACGACGCCATTTTGCTTATTGTTGATGTAAACAAAACGGACAATAAAATATCCAATAAAATATTTCTCATAAAATAATCCATTTGATATATTATAATTGACAGTACTAAATCCAAATTTAGTACTGTCAATTATATTCAGTCTATGAGGTTATGTACGGGATATGACATAAACGGTGTTTTGTGTTATGTTAATAAGCCAGTAAGTCTTCCTGGGAAAAGGTACAGTCAGCTTGTAAGACTTAAATTTTTATGTTACTGGCTTACTAAGTTTAGTAAGTACTTACTTCGGCCAAACACGCCCATTAAATTACGTTCTATACATGTGGTCCGATTTCACTTGAATATTGACGAACTGCTGACACAGCTCACGTGGCTGTTCCAATTGAACAACGTGCAATATTATGTATGTGTAAATAGGTAAGGGTGTTGTCAACACAAAAACGATATGCCTGCTTAAATTCCACGACGGTTCTCCGCACAGACTTCATCCACTCAGCCATGATGTTAGACTATCAATAATATATAAAGATAGATAGAAGATAAAGAGATTTCTTCTTGTTACTTTGCATTGACGTAAACATAATTTGTTAATAAAACAACATCTATTATTACAATTTATTTTGTAGTTATATTGTTCTTCAAATTAAAATTTATAATATTAGCCTAGCAGCCTTTAGCTTTTAAACCATTTTCATGTTAATGATTCTCTCGTTAATCCTGAAATAAAAAATCCCATTACAATATTTAGTAACGACCTGGAGTTTATTCCCTAGATTTGTACAAAATCTTAGTTTAACAATATATTTCTAGATTGTTACATGGTCACCGTATTGGATCGGTAATTAGTCGTAAATTTTCGAAATTGAAGCATTCTTTAGATGCGTGTTCATTATTAATTTACTTTAGGAATAATTAAATGATGATGAATGATTGGAGTAGTATGGATAATTAGCGCGTAATGAATGTTAGATATTTAATATTATTGTTCATACCGCCTAACATTAGCCCGCCTCAAAGCTTGCAAGTCTAAGGCGCGCGGGTCCAGTTCTACTTTTGAGTTGCTGTCCAAGCCTGGCATTATGTCTGAGAATCCCTCGCTGTCCATGTCATCTAGAAAAAAGATAACACACATTGCTTTAAAAAACATGGGACACACATTGATTAGTAATTTCTCTTAAAATAGTCTGTCTCTTCGAATACAAACCACTAATTGTGGGAATTAATTGTATATATTTTTAATTATTTATTGTATTAGTGTTCTGTGTTATATCTTTGTTTAGGGAGAAGTTTATAAAACGTAATAATAAATGTCCTACCAGGATTGCTTATTCGTGCGATGTCACTGGAGTGCAGGCTTCCGTCGAAGTAGACCGTTCCCTCATTGTCCTGTACGAGCTCTGAGATTAAAATTTAACGATTAATATTAAAATGAATATATTATTATATTATATTTAAAGTCTGTATTGGGACTTTGAGTGAACGTTACGGCTTAAATGAGAAAAATATTGTATGAATTTTTAGCGAGTTAATTAGTTCAAATATAAACCATACCATATTGTTTCAGATTAGACTCCAGCTCTTCGTTATCTAAAAAAATATATGTATTTTGATTAACTGTAACAAATTACCTTACGTGATTGAGGCTGTTAAAGCTTGATAATAAGCAGATACTATTTTTATGTAATTCTTCTGACACATCAGGATTTGCACAAAATAATAATTTAATAAAATAAATTAATTTCGAGTAGGTGAGCACTTCAAATAATAAATTTAAGAAAAACCAGTGGCGCTAAAAACTTTTTAGGACTGGGCCTCTGTTTTATGATCATTTGTCAATCTAATAGGCAAGTAGGTGATCAGCCTCCTATGCCATCGACTTTTTGGGTTTTCCGTCACCATTCGAGCGAATGTTAAATGCACCCAAAGACACAAAGTCCATTAGTGCACAGCTAGTGATCAAACCTACGAACTCAGAGACGATTGTCGCACGCTGAAGGCTAACACTGCTCTCACCAATACTAATGAAAATTAATGGGAATTTTTATACATTTCTGATATACATGTTTACTACGTGAAGTTTCATAGTATCAGTTTGAGTTCATGTTTTATGAGATATATAATTAGTTTTTAGTTATTTTCATAGAATTAATTTCGAATGCCACTCACCCGGAAAGTACATGACTATGGATGATTTCGTCGCAAGTGAACTTTGTGTATGTTGAGTAGTTTCTTCTACTGGCGCGACAGTATTGAACGGGGTGGATTCTAAAAATATTTTATTCAATAATCAATTATATTGTTACGAAGACGGGTTTAATGATTTGAAAAAGGATTTCTATACAACTTAGGTTTTCAGCAAGCTGAAATGGCTATGATCGTTTCAAGAGACTACTCCAACATAATGGAAAACTTGGATTTTACCCTGGTTTTCTCCTGAAAAAAAAAACCTTTGTTTTCGGCTGAATTAAGTCTTCATTCTGTTTTAGAACACTAGGCTAGACATGCTCTGAAACAGACTGAAACCTTATGCATGGTTAAAATTTCAGGAAATTTTCCGGCGTTTCCAGGACTGTTTATACCCTTTTCTTGCAGGACCATTCATGGAGCGACCTTTTTATGTGTGACAGGGACGGATTAGTACTTTCTCGAAGCCAGAATAAACATTATAGAACGCCGTACGAAAACAACGGAGTGATATGCGAGGAAGATGAACAGAACGAACGATCTAGAATTATACGATAAGGATAGATCTCCAACTACTCATAAGTAGCCCAGGAAGTTCAAGAATGCCGTTCAATTCAGTCCAAACTGCGATTCCATGGGATCGAAACATTTGAGACAATTATAGTTTGATACGTGACAGTGTTTTATTCGTAATGATTGTATTTTTGAGTGCAATTAGATTCCTTATTAACTAATTTTAACAAACCGAAGAGGTCTGCGGCTTTTCTGTGATTTCCTAGCTCGTTACAATGTATCACTGCAAATGATTGCACAGAAGGCCGATCATTTATCCGCTTGCTAAATATTGAAATAGAAAATTGATTATACTATTCATAACAAATATAGATAGAGGCATAAACATTTGCTTAACAACTTACTTTCCTTTGATGTCGTGAAAACGTGAACTTTGTCTACTTCTGTCACCCTTTTGTTCGCCTCTGTAGCTAGATTCAACTGCTCCTCAAATTTCAAATCTGTAAAGTAATGAAATAATACATAAGTAAATTATTTAGAAATGTGCTAACAAGTGCTCTCTCTTATTCAAAAAGTTCGCTACTTACTCATGATTTGAAGTCGCCTCAAAGCCTTTTCTATACACCAACTTAAAATTTGCGTGCTTCCATTTTGGCCGATTTCATTGCAAAAACTAGTAGCCATGATGATAAAAGGATTTAATTTATTAAGTTTAGAGTCTTTTAAATCACTAGCAAAAGTAGTTTGCATTGGAGCTTTCGTGGTGGACTTAACTAAATTTTTTCGCCCGTTATTACTTTTTAAATATCTAATCCATCTTTTATCTCTCTGAGCGTGTTTATTATTCAAATCCCTACCAGAAATGCTATCTACTGGTAGAAGAATCGTAGTTTTCTTATCAATTATATTATTTCTTTTATTCTTCTTTTTTATAGCTCTTTTCTCGGCAGCGAAACTAGCTAGAATCTTATTTTTCATAACATCATCTATAAATGTATTATTGAAATAGTATTTGTATATTAAGTCATCTATATTTTGTCTATCTTTGTCGTCAAGGATAAGTTTATCATGGTTTTGTAAAGGTGTTTTTTCTGGTATAGAGAGTAGATTTATTTTAACAGATTCTGTGGCGACTGCTTTTTGTGTTGTGGTAAGAAATGCAGTTTTATTTTGTTCTTTAAATTGAGGTTTAGTTATTCCTATATTTAACATACCGTGTGGTTTAATATTTGCATTGGTTATTTGCATTTTCTTTAATAAACGCCAAAAATTGTTTTGTCTCTGTGAAATCTCACTTTGAGTTTTAGTAATGATATTTTGCTTTAGATTAATTTTCTCATTTTCCTCTAACATCGTCTTTTGCACACCGTAAAACTGTTTTTGTTGAGCCAAAAACTTCCTTTGTTGATTTTCAAAATCTAATAAATTTTTAGAAAATTCTCTATCTCTGTCATTGAAGTGTTGTTCTTTAGATTTAAGCTTTCCTTCCAATTTTATTAGTTCTAAATTTACTTTTAATATCTCATCGTATTTGCTGTCAATCCCTACGAATTTTTTGTTAAAATGATCGATTTTTGTCTCAACTTCATCATTTAAGCTCTCCAAACGCTTGTGAATATTTTTAATTTCATTATGTTGTTTCACAATCTTTTTAAACGTTTTCGTTAACATAGATAGCACTTTCATTATGCCTCGTTCCGATATAGGCTTGTCTTTTATTTCTTTATTTTTTGGTAAAACTTGATACACATTTACAGGAGCTGTCTGATGCCAAACAATATCTTTTTCTTTATCAAACACACTGCGATCTATTTTATTATCGCCGTCGTCAGTATCATTTAAGGTTTCAGTTATTTCAACTTTCTTGACATCTTGAAAGTCATAGAAATCAGACATACTTCTTTTCAGATTGATTGTCTTATTCGTAACATTAACTTCAATATTTGCTCCTACCGTACTTGTATCCGATTGATTTATTACTGGAACTTGTTCTTCTGTTTTCCGTTTTGACATATTATTGACATCCGCATTAGGCGGAACATCGCTTATTACAATAGCAAATTCATAAGGAAAATCATTGAAGAAAGCTGGTTTTAATTTATTGATTAAATTTGATTGGATTAAAACATCGTCTGTTGTGCATTCCTTTGCACCCGAACATTTTTTCATACTTTCTCTAAACGGTTGCCTCTGTTCACCTTAAAAATAATAAATGACCTTACGTAAGTATAAATGACTCATACTTCTAAAATTAATGTTCCTTTGTTGTTTTGTTTTTTTTAGCTGAATATTGGAGAATTTTTATCTGAAAAATTAAAAATAAAACTTACGATACGCCGACCTCTTGTTCCGTTCAACATAACTCGATATAAACGGGCTATTTTCACTAAACACGTCATTGTTGCCCTGCAGCAAGGTATCAACATCAAGAGAATTCGCCCTAAATATAAATGCCCCACCTGTGGGCCTTTTCTCTACATTTCTTACCCAAAGACCTTTATTCACAATGTTATTTCTTTCTAACTTTGGTTTTCTATAGTTCGATTCAGCCTCCAAATAAGAACCCGATATAACTCCGATTATACTAATTAATATCGATATTTGAAACATCACTAGAACTGTACTTGTTCGTCGGAGGATAAATGAATAATGTAGGGAATGTACAGCAATCAGAGTTGTACGTTTATTTGTAAATAAAAATGTAAGTGGTGTGGCAAAATCGATATTTGCATTTTCATCGAAATTTGTAAAACGTATATAACTTTGCTACGTCAGTGAATTGTCAAGCATTTACTTCAACGTAACTAAGATTTAACGTGTAATAAATTTTCGTAAGATTCGCATTATTACTAATCCTTTCGTTTGATACAATTCCTTCATTTAGGTTGAATTTTTTTGTACGCATTACATGTATAGTTTTATGCAAACAATCTAGTGGGGTTGTACGATAGGACGGTCGTTTTATCGACAACTAGGTCTGCCCCTATTCAATGTTTACATTTCTCGTAGCATTTTATTCATTCTATTTTGTACAGTCACAGCTTTGTTTTAACAAAAATTACCCGGATATGGACTTTTTTTAAAACGCATCATAAAGGTATTTTGATTTAGTTTTTTAAAGATAATGTATCCTACTATTATTGGATCACATCCGTTTCTACTCTGTTTCTTAAAAGTAGAATTTCGACAAACTTTTGGATTAATTGTCGTGTCTATATCGTATAAGATCTTCCACGTACACAAAAATAAGCCAGTGGCGCTACAACTCTGTTTTATGATAATCTTTTTTCTTAATAAGCAAATAGGTGATCAGCCATCTGTGCTTGACACACGACGTCGACATTTAAAATCAAAGGCATGCCAGTTTCCTAACGATGTTCACCGAGCGAACGTAAAATGCGCACAGAAAAATAAAGTCTATTGGTACATAACCAGGGTTCGACTTCAGGGATGGGAGTCACACCCTCAAGCCACTAGGCCAATACTTGTCACGTTACTGTCACTGCACTGCTGCTTCTACTGACATATTTCCAGACTATTGTATAATTCATTTAAATAAAAATACGGGTATATTTAAATAAATAAATAGTCTTACGATTGTTCTATAATTTATTGGTTTTCTGATAAATCTTAGATACAGTTAAACTTATTCTTTTTATAGCCGTAAAAAGTAACAACTCATAATGTTAATTTATAAGTATATATTATTAAGCTAATACTTAAGTACCTACTTGCCGTTGTTGTAAAGCATTATGTTACAGAACAAAGTTATTCTGTGCAATTTGTTAACTAAAATAAAATAAGTCTTTTTAAATAAATTAAATTTTTTTTAGAAGATTATTAAGTAGTTCTATGTGAATCAATTTTGGAAAAAATATTTAAATCTTCGATTGAGTTGAATCGTGAACTTTTCTGAAACAAAAAATTGATTTGAGCAACAGTAATATGTTTCTTTTCTATTCTATCCAAAAATGTCCATATTTTGTAATTGTTGTCCATATACGGAATAGTAGGTAGAAATCTTAAAATTTATTTTAGATTAGGCTATAATGATGCTTCTGCAACCACAAAACTTATAAAAATATGTTAATGACAATGACTAAACTACCTCTTTATGCAGGGAAAGTCCCAAAACTTTTGATCTTTTCCATATTCTTCTCCATCTTGTATAGTTTGAGGCATTGCTTTACCCATAGACTCGGGCAGAGCGAGGCAGAGACAACCGCCGAATATACCGATTGTTCCCAGAATTAGCAGTGGAATTTCTATTGCTATTGTAGCCTGAAAATATGTAACACTATCATTACCTTTTCTTAATTAAAATGTTTTAAATATGCACCATGTACCACGGAAATGTAATCTAACCACAACACAGGAGCGTTAGATATACTTTTGCACAACCATATTTCTGTTTTTAAACAGTTTTATTTTGTCTCGGGATTAATTAATGAGCGTGGTACATTGTCTGCCTGGGCCTAAACCAATTATTATTATTATTATTTTAGAACCTGATTTTTGCAGGATTTCGTTTCATTTGAACGTTTTGTTAGATTTTGTCTAACGTGTAAGAGAATTGTTTTGTTTTAGACGTCTGTCGTCTGTCTTGTTCTTACCAAATACACGATGTATGGCACCAATATATTAGCGACATATCCAGTTATATGTATCAATGCCAGTCCCTGCGCTCGTACTACTGTTGGCAACAACTCAGCGGCATATTGCAGGCCGATGTTAAAGGAAATGTTGACTGCAAAACGACCCACTATAGCCAATGACGCTGAAGGTATACCTGGAAAAAATACAATAAAATTGTCATCTTGTCTCGTCACTCAGAGGCATTATTGAAGTTATTCTTCTTTTGGCGCGCTAGGGAAAAATCATGAGAGTAAATGCGCGCGCATATGCACCGTCACAAAAAACCGACACCCTGAAGTTAGCTACAGTCAAGATTTTAGTTTTTTTGAAGTTATACTTCTTTTGGCGCGTTAGGGAAAAATGATGAGAGTAAATTTTTTTCTATTTTTAGTGTCCACGTGTCTCTACAAACGTAGAATAAGGCGAAAGATAACGATTTTGATAAGTATACCTAACTTCTAACGCGTGTACATAAGTACATACACGTTTTTTTACATTTATCTCTGTAAGAAGGTCCTAGTTATTCAGATAGGAATGGCCCCCTGGTGACTGAAGCAAGTTAAAACGCACTTAAAATCGATCAACTACTTCCCCACAAAGAATAATTATCATAAGAACATACAGGAATAGATGTTTCAAATATCACAAGTCCAATTGATTTTCGAAAGAAAAATTATGAAAAGAAATTACCAAACGGTACTATAGTTGCAAGAAAACTGAAAACTCCACTGAGTACCATGGACCCGAACGCCAGCCAACGACGACCAACACTGTAATATGAAAACCGTTGTTATTCTATCAATTATTATCATCATGCAGTATTAATTGTTTGATTATACATCCCAGTAGTAGATTTTATGATATTATTCTAAAATATAAATAAATTAAAAAAAATATAATATAGCCATCTTATGTCTATACTAATATAAAGAAGTAAAGTTTGTGTGGTTGTAGGGGGTAACCTGTGAATCTACCGAACCCTTTTTGAAAATTCATCGATAAGAGATACAGTAAGTTCTAGAGAAATAGATAGCGACAGAATATTTATAACGCTCCTCCGCCGCGTCTATCAGTCTGTTCGCGTTAAACTCAAAAACTACCAGCAGTCACCCATATTTATATATATATATATATATAATGATTTATGAGGAAGGATTAAGTATATAATTTTTCAAGGTTTGCAAGGATTCCGGTGCGAAGCCAGGGCGGGTAGCTAGTATAATATATATTGTGTTACTCGAAACCTATATTCTAAGTATTCGCTGAGTAATCCCTACTCTATAATAATTACAAAACTTACACATCCAATGTTAAAATGAGCAGAATATCAGCAGGAAATTCAGTAGCAGTCGCAATGGTGAAGGTGAGAAACATATCCAGGCCCAAAGAGCCGACATTCCTGACGTGACCATCAAAGACCATGGTGATGGACATCCAAATCACGACCAGAAGGATACTCTGTCTTCGAAGACGTGGGCTCTTAAAGAGATCCAGGAAGGAGTAGTTCTTGAATTCCTCTTCAGCCTTTGCTATTTCCTTTGCTGTGTCCTGTTGAGTTTCGATTAAAATATCATTGTAAATAGCGCAGATGTAACCCATCCCTTGGGAAGTATCGTTTTATACATCATATCTACTACGTAACGACAGAAAATTTTCCGGAAATCTGACAGTCCATGGAAGTCAGTGGAAGGAAGTTTTACTAAGTAAAATAAATGCTTAATGAAAATTTAGTTACCCTGAATTCTTTAATTACTGCATCTGGTATTTTCCTCTTGTTAATTCGCTCACATTTTTGAATTATAGTCAGCGCTTCATCGATTCGGCCTTGTGAAATTAACCATCTGAAAACATATAAACATGTTCAACAACATACATAGGAATTTATTTATTACGTATTTAGGACCAGAAGTATTATAAACTACTTTATAAACATATTTACAATATTCTTAACCTACATAATTATAATAAAAATTAAAAATTGATAAATGGAAAATTAAAACAAATTCAAAAAGTTTGGTCCTTGGTTTGGTGTTGCCAGATATAAAGATCAGTATATCTTTAATGCTGGCAGCATTTCTTCGCTGTATTGCGATACTAATTCGTTTACAGAGGAAAGCACAAGCTCTGCGGTCACCGGTATTATACCAGGTGCCAACTTAAATCTTTAATTAGCGCCTGTGCACTTGAACACCACGGCCCAAGAGTCTCTACGCCAAAGGGAACAAAATCAATGTTGGAGGTAATACTCTACGACTATATTATTTTCCGCCTTATTTATTGCAGCCGCACCGCATATATATTGTTAAATTATCCAGCATGGATGTATCTTCATGTAGAATATGATTGGAAGTTAAGGCTTCTTGTTAAATGTATGTAATCAAGAGTTGTTTATGTGTAGTCAATAGTGAAACATTTATTTTTACCATTTATCTTAAAATATAGAATCAGGAATAGGCTGAGCCGGAAGAAGCTACCAGATTTCCTTTTTTCATAGCTTACAGGATAAGTAAAAGAAAATAATATGTAGTTTAAAATTACCTTGCACTCTCTGGTACAATAAATGGCGTCAATATAGATAGTCCCAATGGTATACTGGTTATTAAGGTGTAAATTTTCCAGTCGGCAGCTGCCAGCGCGATCCAAGGTAAGATACAAGCCGCAAATGTAAAATATACAGCTATTGACATGTTCGCAACGAATGTTCGCCATTTTGGTCCTACGTACTCTACCACTGGAAGTAAAACTTATTTATGTGTGTGCTTCTAATTAAAAGATTTAAAATGTTTTGTTGCGTTTATTCCTTAAGTAAGTCCCATGAGAATGATAAAGACAAAATATGATATTATTATATTCAACTAGGGGTTTCTAGAGGTTTAGAAATTAAAAAATAAAGTAAATATAATCAAAAATCGGGATTTTTTTAAATATTTGGTAGGCGATGAAGGGTGAAATTTTCTAAAAGTGACTATGAAATTAATAAATATTAAAAAAATCAGTTGCCCTACAACCTCTTTAGGTCTTGGCCTCAGATGTCTGAATCTGTTTCATGATTATTTTTAAATCTAATAGGCAAGTTGGTGATCAGCCTCTAGTGCCTTACATACGCCGTCGACTTTTTTGGGTCTAAGACATGTCGGTTTCCTCGCGATGTTTTCCTTCACTGTTCGAGTAAATGTTAAATGCGCACATAGAAAGAAAGTCCATTGGTGCACAGCCGGGGATCGAACCTACGACCTCAGGTATGAGAGTCGCACGCTGAAGCCACTAGGCCAACACTGCTCTAGAAATTATGCTCTGACTATGAAACTATCGAGTTAAAAATTTAAAGGAATTTATATATCTCAATGTACATAATTTACCTTTACATACTTACCAACAATGTACATAACCATGAAACAATTGTCGTACGCGAGCCCGACTAGAAATCGGCACAAACAAAACGACCAGAAGCTGTTGGTGAATGCCGTAGCTACTCCAGCTACGAACCCTGTCATGTTGGTGCCTAAAAGTATTTCTACGTCTTAATATCTCTTATGTACGCCATACGGTGAATATGTAGTTGATTCTTATTAAATCTAATATCAAGTATGTAAAAAATACATTAATAGTAATTTAATTGGAGTCGGGATAGAAGATTACATTTACTTCGTAATATCATTAAGATACAGCTAGGAAAATTGATTAATAAGAAATATACTATATTAAAAATAAATGGTTGCCTTTCCCGCTTTATGTACGATGGTTTAACGTGACAACGTCATAATAAAACATTGATGAAATGATTGCATACTTTCATGAATAAAATTGAATCATTTTTATTTAACACTATTTTGTATGAATACAAAGGAGTAAAATGAAATCTACAATTTAATTGATAAATTTACTTTTATTTGCACATTAATTCAAATATGTTTATTACTTTAAGGAACAGATTAAGTTAGTTATGGCATTTCGTGCTGCCGCTGTCTTTGTTCTCCTCTGACGCATAGGCCAATCGAGTGAAAGAGATAGATAAATGCGGCGCAAGCGTACAGTGAGCGTAACGGGACAATAATTATTTATAATTTATTTATATTATTTATTATTTATAATTATTGTATATTTTACCGAGAATAGCAGGCACCCTGCCATATTTATCTGCTATCCATCCGAATATCAGACCTCCAAAAATTGCTCCACAGAAAAAGATAGATTGAGCTGTTGCAGGGTAGTTATCTCGTTCGCAAACCCAGCCGAGCTAGAACAACTTGAACGTTTTAAAGTGTACGATTGCTAACTGATCTGTTACTGTTTAATGTTGTATTGTTTTTTTCTGTGTATGTATTGTTTTGTTTGTGATATTTATTAAAAATTAATAAATCATATTACCAGACAAAATTACAGACAAAGAGTTTTCACCTGGCATGAAGTACTACAATAAACAAAAAAAAAACTACAAGTAGCAACTATACCTGCGTGGCTATGGTCTCATACGGTGCATCAGTAAAGTTAAACTCCCAGCCATCACACTTCTTTGTTGGCCATGTAACCTTCGGCTCCAAATCACCACTTGTGAGTACATTGTTCCAATCGACGTCATAAACTATGCACTTTTCATACTGTCCTTCCTTCTGAGGTATTGCCAGGTGGCGACTGAAATTAATGAATCAAGTTTTATAAGGCAGCGTGCGACTCTCATCCCTAAGTCGTAGGTTCGATCCCCGGCTGTGCACCAATGGACTGTATGTGCACATAGAAACATTCGCTCAAACGATGAAGGAAAACAGCGTGAGAAAACCGGCCTGCCTTAGGCCAAAAAAGTCGACGGCGTGCGTCAGGCACAAGAGGCTGATCACCTACTTGCCTATTAGATTGACAAATGATCATGAAACAGATACAGAAATCTGAGGCCCAGACCTAAAAATGTTGTAGCGCAACTGATTTACAGTCAAAACCGTTTATAACGACATCGTTTACAACGACCTATCGGTTATTACAACCAGATTGTATGGTCCCGTCCGAATCCCTAGTAAACTATTCAGTAAAGAAACCGCTTATAACAACATCGGATACAGCGACATATCGCTTACAACGACGAAAGTTTATCGATATTCATCGGATATAACGACCAACCGCTTCTTGTCTCAGTAAAACAAAACAATACAAACGATTTTAAATTTTATTTATAAGCATTGAATGAATATTTAGGCATATTATTACCTACGCACTTTCTCCCAACGAACAGTTTCAACCAACAACGATTTCCGAGGCTCTTAACGCTGTAACGATTTTGCAAAAATTTGTTGCCTTTAACGAACAGTTTGATACTGGTGATACTCATACCTTGAGGAGTATGAAACGTAAAATGCAAAAAATATTTGAGACTGGGCTAAAAAAAAAACAGACTGACTGATTACTTTTGTACCTAATTATTTCGTAATAAATATTTTTGTTTCTTTTTTGACTCGTTTACATATTATAATATTAACATACCATATTATAACCCATACCTACCTATTCTAGATCGATAACTATGTACATACATATGTACTGTACTTGTGTACATGACATTGCTTATAACGACTATCGGATATAACGTCGGCAACTATACGGTCCCTTCAATGTCGTTATAACCGGTTTTGACTGTATTTATTTTTTTATAAGGTTTTGGTCGGACTTTTGCAGAACTTCGCTTCACTTACAGTAACGTTGGAGTACAAAAGTTAACTAGTGCCTCTATATTGTTAAATTAGTGTCAAATTAAGAGTATAAACTTGGTTTTATCTGTCATAAAACTGACACTTCGGTCGTTTTCTAGTTACCCCCCTTACCGTAATTCAGCGGTAAGATTTGCTAGCTCCGGCACTTGACACCAATGCTGTTCAGGCACTACTGTCATGAAGATTTGCGAAAAATATACAAAGGCGAAGAAGAAGGAGTAGGGTATCATGAGAAGGAACAGCAATCGCTGGTACCAGCCAAAGTCGCCGATGTATGGGAACAGGTCGTCCAAGTCTTTTAACTGCTTCTTGGGACCTAGGAGAAATATAATTAATTAACCTTTTATCTTTTATCAATTTGTATTATATTAAATAATAAAAACCAGGAAAAAAAAATCAAAAGCAGTCTGTATAGTTTTGCGAAGCCTGACTAAATTAAACTCAAACTAACTTCATATAGGTAAACAAGTACACTTATGAAAGTCAACAAAAAATATGTAAAATTGATTCTAAATTTCCATTTACTACCAGTTCGCAAGTCAAGGGTGTAAAGCGGGCAAGAAACTCTCCGCCACTATTTTTAATCGTTAAGTTTTGAGTCATACAAATTGTTTGAACTGGAGCAAATTATGGGACATATCGAACACAATTTACTTAGAGTCTCAAATTTCATATATTTTAATTTAAAAGCCAAAGGTTCTAAAATATACCTGTAGGGTTCATTTCCAATTGATCAAGTCGGGTGCCACCCGTCTTGTCCAAGTTCTCACGTGATTCCATTTTCGAACTCCGTGATTGCCTTGAATGACACTTTTCCGGACGTCTTTCTGGTTACTTTAAGACGAATATGGGAGCGCTGAACTGAAACAAAAGCCAATAAAAAATTCCATTTATTACCTATTTTAGAAGGTTCAATCTCGAGGTTATTAGCGATTTAGTCAAGTCTAATTGACGCGATACTCTTAAGATAAGAAAGTAACTGCATTAAGAAAATTTATAGATTACGTTTATTTTCATAGCGAAATTTATTTTATATAATTATTAGTATATAATAAAACCACCGACATAGAAACAACTTTTCAGTACCAGGGATATGATTAATCTAGCACAATTAAAGCTATAAGAAGATACTTAATGTTATTTCAAACATAACAAGATTGTCAGATAAGTACATATTCAGCAAATACATAGTGACATGTAAAGAGTGGATATGCGTACTAAATATTTACTCGAAAATGTTTGATTGTCTTCTGATTAACACTACACGTCGCTTTTATAGCACACCATATTTGACATAAGCTAAGTGATCTGCCTTGTGTAAAATACAGTTCGGATGTGATCATGTACCACATTTTACTATTTGCTATATTTCTTGAATAGGTACATTACATATTATGATATATTGATTGGAAATAATCAATATACAATATTTACAATAAATATTCTTAGCCTGTACAGTAATTGTAATTAATACATACAATTTGATAAATAGAAAACTATAATAAATTTAAAAAGTTTGGTCCCTGTGGTTGTGTATCTATAGTGCTCACAAAATTTCCGCGCTGTATGATGTGTGCGATACTTATTCATTGGCGATGCAAGCACCAGCTCTGGGGTCACCGCTACTATCTACCAGGCGCCAACTTAAATCTTGAATTAGCTAGCTTTGGAGTAGCCAAAGGTAACAAAATCAAAGTTTGAGGAAAGACTTATATTTTGTCCGTTTATATTTTCCGCCTGCTTTTGTGCTTGTCCGAGGGAGGTCTTACCTATCAACGTGACCTAACCTAAAGTGGCGTAACGTGGAGCTAACGTGTCCAGTATCCACACAAGTAGCATCCCATAATAAAGCCCAACCCATCAAGGGTTCAAAGAAATCCCATCCGGCCGATTGCCATCGTGCCTATCGATGCCTGGTGGCTCCAAAATGGCTGGAATATTGTCGGAGGCGAGAAAAAAAACCAGCGGAAACCGCGCAAACTTGTGTCTTGTTGGGGGTTAAATTGCACTAGATTTTGTCGGTCCCAGATGGAGACTCCACGTAGCAGAGTTTGGACTTGTTGTTGCATATACCGGTCTGAACTAGGATTACATCCGTTAAGAAACTTCAGCCATGAAGAGGTGTCTAAATAAAAAGATGATTGGGACCATATCACTTTTAGGTATTTGACACCATCAAGGTTTCTGCTTAGAAGCAAGTAGACTTAAGGTTTCTTTTAGATTATTAATTTATTAGTTACTAGTACCCGACAGACGTTGCCCTGCATGGTATTTCAAGCGATTAGGATATTAAATAAAGTATGAAACTACAGACTGCAGCGCCATTTACCGGGCTGATTAAATATAATCCATCCAGGGTGCCACCCAAACGCATACAAAAAAACGGTCCAGCCATTTAAGAGGAATTTAGTGACATACACACGTACGGTTGAATTATATATATATATGTTCTGTCGTTTAATACTCTCCCAAGTGCGATTCGTTATTTTGTTAGATACAATCAATGTTAATTGTGACAAGCATATATATATATGCGCGTATAGACCGAAAGATATTAAAAGAACGTCTCGATGTTAGGATATATTATATTAATGCATTAGAAATACTGTAAACAGTATGAAAAAGTGTGAAATTTATAATATATATAAATTTATAGTTTATATTTTCAGCATGTTTAGGTCATAGTATTTAATAACATTTGTGTGATGTTCTAATAAACATTAAATGATTATTGTTAACTCCACGGAATTGACGTCAAGGAACACTTAATAGATTGCACCATGTTTGAACTGTAGATGAGAAACTCAACATGATAAATTTTTATTACCTCTGTTCAGTAATAACGTTCTATGAATAAACTTTCCCTATTGTAAAATACCCTTAAGGCTCTTTTTATTTTTTAATTCCATTTTCAGTTGCGATAATCTTTCGAAAATATTATACATTATAGAGTAATTACTGTACTGGCTTTCTAAACCCCTCGTTAACATAGGTCTGTTGCTTCCATAACGCAAAAAATTATGAGGTTACTTATTCGCGCTAGATTTTTGCGACGTCTAGATTTCAGTTAATATTATATTTGTATTCATTTATAAGTACTTCAAGCATTAAAAGAGCAATGACTTTGTACGAAAAATTTCAAACACCACAATACTTTTTGTGATGTATAATTGATATTCGCTGTGTATGATAACGATTGATAAAAATGCTGTTAACAGAGGTTAAAAGTGCATGGAATTTAATTAACGTGAAATTATGTACTGGAGTTAACACCTATAAAGATTGTAAAGTAGTTAAAAACGTCACTCACCTAGGTCCACTATATTGCCACCAAAAACGCTATTTAAATATAGATAATGCAAAAATAAGGACGTATTGTTTGTGTGACAGCGAAGCGCGGAATGAGATGAAGTTTTCAGCGTTGTATGACTTAAAAAACCTAATTGGTATATTATATAACTTTAGTATCTTTATTATCAAGATCTCAAAGCTTATATACATATATGTACATTATTACGTATATCTCAAAAAACTGCTTTACATAATCGACTCATGTTTTTTTTAATAATTATAACATATTAGGAATAAAACTAGGTGGGCGAAAATAGAGTTCTAACGAAACTGCCAAAATTTGAAAAAAGATGGATGAATCTAACAATTAATTAAAGGCCATTCATTTTTAATTATTATTATAATTATTACTATTTAGGTTAAGTAAATAGTAAATACTCTACGTATATATCTGATATACATTTTATATAGTAAATACATAAATAGTTTATATATATATGTACTTATTATTAATTTTAATTCAAAATAAATCAAAGTAAAATTGTCTTTTATTTAAATCGTTATTAAAATGTAACATAGTGATACCTTTTTTTGGTTTTCTATTTTGAGAGTTGAGGATATATTCTGGTAGACATATTGGTCTTTGGTGTTCTTTTCGTTAGAAAAACTAACTGACTGACTAATACATATTTACAATAAATGTAACAAATAATAGTGTTTTAACGTTATGCTTTAAGCCCATTTAAGTTGTAGGTTTCATGTAAGGATGTGTTGCCGTATTTGTATAACAGAACCGATAAACCCTAAGTTTATTTGTTGTGGCAAATTTCTGCAGCAGCTGTATAGTAACGCATCCAACAATCAACGTAAATCTAACGCTGGCCATAGACGTACCGCATGTTGCAGCCGAGACCGACTGCTCTGGAGCGGTCGCCGCACGGCGATCTGCAGTTTCCATACTAAATTCATATCCCCAATACACGGACCGCTCGAGCAGTTCCTGAGCGGTCGGAGCAGTCGCTCTGCGGTCGAGTTTCGCCGTGCGGTCGACTGCTTAGAGCTGCCGGACCCACCATACACGGACTGCTGGTGACGACCGCGCGCCACTCCCTCCCCTCTCCCCGCTGAGTACCAATCCTTTCCTCATTTTGGAATCTGTCCGTTGTATTTTATGGCTTAAAATGCTAACTAATTCATCAAATGAAACCACGAACATTCTAAAGTAGTTGAAAAACTTTTAGTCTCTTCCCTCAGCTGGGGATACAAAGTATGAAATATTCCATGCCGTTCTCTTGATTGTAGTATTGAACGCAATCACATACTACGGTGTCTTCTACGCCTACGCTTGCTTAATAGTAGTACAAGAAGCAGTGTTTCTTCAGTATTCGCATCAGTATTATTTTGCGGTCGAACACAACTGCTCCAAGCAGTCGTAGTCGACTGCAACATAATCAAGACCGTAATCTCTTTGACATACCTACGGATTTAACGGTTAGCGATAAGTGTCGTTTCTACATCTTACCTAAAAAATCTTATTTCAATATTTAAACGTAGACTGACGCAATTGAAGATAATGTTGTCGGTAATAAATTTACTGAAATATCTATTTACCAAATAGTATTAAATATGTCTTATGGTTAAGATAACTGAATTAAAATACCTTTTCCCTATCTTGAATTGAAATATATTACGTACGTACTATAAATATATAAAGTATGTGATTTTTCTTTTTAAAATCAAATCAAAGTTTTATGTATAAATTTATGTGTAATCAGTAAAACAGTTTTTAAGGTCGAGCTTTTAGATCTTTAATGTTGTCATCTCTATATCAAGTCGCACGCCTTTTATTAAGTGACATTAATAATTGGCTCCAAGTCATTGGATACTGAAATATTGTCTTTATGTATTTTTACTTAAGACCAAAACACTAGAGCAGAACTATTGCAGATTCTTAATATTAATGTCAACTAAAGAGAAGTAGCAATTCAAAACTCAGACTTCTAGATAAAGTCTGTTCGATTAATATTAACGTTGATTTATCATACACTTGACAGACAAAAGTAAAAAAAGGGTCCGATTCTCGTTGGAGACACTCTGTACCCTTGCCGAAAAACTGCCTTTCGCACAAGACGCCTGAGCCGACAAAGTCTTTCAGGCCTTTCCAAAAAAAGGTTAGTTTAAATATATTTAAAAGCTCTCATTATCTCTTGCGAGTGTTAAAGATACATATTAATAGACATTATAACTACTGCACTTCGGATTGTTTTAAATTTACTTAGGCTCTGTCGGCCGTCTGGTACAGATCATAGATTTGCTAAGAAAAAGTTTACTTTAAAAACTATTTTGGTAGTAAGTGCCCTCTACGATAGCTAACTAAAACAGTATTTATCAAGTAATAGATTATAAATTATATTTACGTTTTATACCAGGTGGCGTGGCGTCACATTCACGTTAAGCGAAAAAAAATTTAAGCGTAAACTTATAATAATAACATTAAATTCAAGTAAAGTATACAAATGAATTACGACAAGTTATGTCGTGATTCATTCAACCTTGCGATGTTATTAATATGGCTTTAGAAAATACACTTTGCGACAGACGTGACCGAAAAGGCAAACACTAACGACATGACATTGATGGCTTGCTTTTAAGTGACACTGACAACTAAAGTCAAAAGGTATTCGTAATGTCAATCTGACATTTAATGAGGTTTGACATTAATAGTTTGATTCGATGTTTAGAATTACCGACGAAGACTTCCGAGTTCCAACATGAGTAAATCGAGTTTTAACTTTCGTGTTTCGTCGCGATTGCATTAGTAATTAAACTTATTAATAACAATTAATGCTCGAAAAAAATAAAGTCCTTATTTAAATAACCTATATTTAAAATGGAATCGGTTATCTAATGTAACTTATAAAGTGTAGAGAGTAATGTGTAATCCCGTTGTACTTTTAAACATCTGTTTACTGTTATCGTTGTTTTGCTAAGAAACAAGTCTCTGTCATAGTGAGACAAGTGTTTCGTTTGTTTGAAAAGAAAGTTAACATAAGCACATTTCCTCCGCGCGTAAGTTTGTAAATAAAGAAAATATGGTGGTTTAAAATAAACTTAAAAATAATACAGAAGTAAAGTTGTTGTTGTTTTCAAAGTTAAAAATGTATTCCGTTGTTTGAAATAATGTTATCACAGCCCAAAAATAGAGTTCAAGCTATTAAAAGTAAATTTGAGAGTTTACAGTCTGAAAACGAATCTTTAGTCGTTAAGAAAAACGTGTCTCATTTGAGTAAATATACTCAAAAACACAATGTGAATATTGGTGTTGTAGACTCAAATAATAAGGAAAACAAAGACGAAGAAAAAAGTTTGAATGTTAATTCAGACTTAAGTGATTTGAATGAAGATTGGTCTCTCAAACCAAATTCAAGTTATTTATATAGTCAACCAGACACAAAAGTTTGTAATGATACAAAAATAACACTGTCGCGTCAATCAAGTGATCCTGGCAAGAAATTACATAGAAGTCATGCTTTCCGCTGTGACCGAAATCAAATTATAACACAGCCTAAACGATATGGTAGCTGCAATGGACGATCAGAAACCAGTGATTTCTCATTGAAACGCCATGATAAAACACTCTCCAAAGATCGTTTGAAACAATTAGGAAATTTTATTGAAGATCAAATGAGGAAAGAAGGCTACATGGCTTCCAACTCTGCCATTGTTGGTCATGTTGATTCTGTACCAGACTGTGATGTACCTAAACACATATTAGACCAATATGCTAAAGTTGATAAAAGTAACAAAGCTGAAAAACAAGATTCCCTAACCGATAGTGGGGTGAGCTCAGAAACAGAAAATATAGATGATGAAAAAAATAAAATTAGAAAACTAGTTACTCAATATGAAAAAATTGATGATAAAGAAAAACTCTTTTTGGAGAAACAGAAATCCAGGGACAGTAAAGGATTGAAAAATAAAGATTACTTTAATATTAACGAAAATAAACATCTTAGTCAGTTTTTTGAGACCAGTGATAAAGAAACTTCCCCAATTGAAAACTTAAATAATACACAACATAATTTTCAAAATAAAGAAGAAAATAAAACCTTACTTGACAGTGAAACTAAAATATCAAACCAATTGGAAAATGTCAATTCTAATTCAAATCTGGCTTCAATGGATGACCTTTGTGGATCTAGTGAAACCATGCGTTTGGAACGAAAAAACCCACATTTAGTGCTCACAGATACATTGAAAAAGGCCTTAAAACAGCCTTTACCCACTGGACCACCACCTAAAAAACCACCTAGAGTTTTTCATGAAGAAAAGCCTAAAAAGGACACAAAAAAAATGCTTGAAAAACTAGAGCAGATATTGCAAAAACGAGAGGCAAATCAAAGTAAAATCTATGACATTGCTGAAGAATCAGAAAAAATTGAAAAACCTAAAAAAGAGATGCATTATCTCTGTACTGAAATATTAAACATCCCAAACCAAACAACGGATCCCTTTATAAAGTGTTTAAATTCTTTAAATTGTGCCATTATGACAAATAATTCTACTTTAAGTCTGCCATATACTAGATTGAACGAATGTATGTGTGATAAACGTTTGAGTACATTTAAAAACGATTTTGAAGGAAAGAAGTGTCCAAAGTGCCAATCGAATGATGATAAAGACGGATTTAAGTGTCATTTGAACTGTAAGTGTAAAGTGTTAAATTCAGAGTTTTATGTGCCAAGAGAACATATCTATGATGTACCATTTGTTGAGAAAAGTGAATATGGATCATTGAATAAAGGCAGCCGGAGTATGGAAGACTTAAGACTTATTGAGGTAAGCTTCCCTTTATCTGTTTAATAGTGTATTTGAGCAAATTGTAACCACCTTTGATTTATTTCTCTCAGTCTTTTTATAAAACTCGGATAGTTAATACATGTTATATTAATTATAAATAAAACCATTTTTTACAAATTTAAAAACATCTGTTGTGTAATCAATACAGACCTTAAATGCCATATGATTTCCTAAATCATAATTATGACGATCTTCAAAACAATATCTCAGAAAAAAATATAGTTTTGATTAGATGAAATATTACCTACTTTGCTCCTATGCTTTTACAGTTCTTATCATGTACCACCATATGTACATACCAGTATGTATTTTATGTTACTTAGTGAGTTGCTTGAATGTTAGAGTAAATGTTTCATATGAGTGGTTTGATTGTTGGAAGGATAAATAAATGGACTGTAGTTGTATGTCTTTGTGTTCATTGAACCATTTCAATTCAATGAAATAAGTATCGAATCTCAGTTAAGGGTGGTTTTCCCACGCGCAGTCCCGTGTCGGACACGCGCGAGTGACCGCCGTGCTCCGGTGCCTGCAATACGATACGATATGGTCGTGACATTTGTTGTATCTTGTTACCTGAATTGTCATGGAAAAGACAAGGGCGTTTTTTATTATGTTATCATTATGAAACAACCAGCATCTAATTAATTCGATACGTTTTTTCGTGATATTACTATCTGTATTTAGCTAGTATACAGGGTGGCCAAAAAGTCGTGGATCAAACGCAAATAGGGGATAGATGAGGTCATCAGCGGCAAAAAAATTGTTCTACGGGAGGGGTGCTCTAAGGTCAACCCCTGCAGAGTTATGATTTATTTTGGTTTTTATGAAAAGGGAAAATTGACTTTTTTTACTAATTCTTCTTAAAATTCGAAAATATCTACATCCTGTATCTTTCTCATAATATCAACTAGATTGGTACTGATGAGTTCTTGCGTTAGACATACTATTTATAGTTGTTTATTGAGTGTATTCAAGATAATATTAAGTGATACGATATAACATTTTTTCAAATCATACATTTTTCTTTACTTTGGACCCCACTGTGAAAAAAAATTACTCCACCGAAAAGTGTCCCTGTACTACAAGTTTTGGCGCATTTAATAGGGATTCTGAAAAGGTATTACACGTGGTCATGAGTCGCTCTTATATCTTTCTAGGAAGAATTACAAACAACGATTGTGAAATAATAATTGTATTAAAACAATTATTTCTCAATGGTTGTTTCTAGGAAACAAAATATTTTACAATAAAATATGCTCAAAATTCCAGACTCTGACCATAATACTTAATCTGTACCGTCTAAACAAATTCCTAAGTAACCCTCCAGCCATCTGTCCACCAGGTAGGGGTAAATAATCTATCATAAGTCCGAATCGTTGTTGTTTTTTTCCTCCTAGAAAGATATTAGAGCGACTTATGGCCATGTGTAATACCTTTTCAGAATCCATATTAAATGCGCCAAAACTTGTATATAGGGTCACTTTTCGGTAGAGTATTTTTTTCACAGAGGGGGTCCGAAATAAACAAAAAGTTTTGATTTGAAAAAAATTATATCGTATAACTTAATATTATCTTCAATACACTCAATAAACAACTATAAATAGTATGTCTAACGCAAGAACTCATCAGTACCAATCTAGTGGATATTATGAAAAGAGTACAGGATGTAGGTTTTTTCGAATTTTAATAAGAATTAGTAAAAAAGTCAATTTTCATATAAAAACCAAAATTAATCATAACTCTGCAGGGGTTGACCTTAGAGACCTCCCGTAGAATAATTTTTTGCCGCTGATGACCTCATCTATCCCCTATTTGCGTTTGATCCACGACTTTTTGGCCACCCTGTATAGAAGTATTCTTAAATCAATCCGTAATCTACCTATTAGAATCGGAGGATTCAGGAGATGGTCCTGCATCTCTCTAAGACGAGAGCGTAATCATTCATTCATTTCTACAACTTTCAGCAACGCACAGATTAATCTACGGATGTTGAGGGCGCTCGCGGACCCCTATAATTTATAATAATATCTTGGCTGTCCCGCCATGCCTATTTTTATGCCATATACATGATGAGCTTCTGCCCCCGTCTATTTTGACTACGCCATTTTTGCTACCCCTTTAACAATCGTTTTATTAAAGACATATTATCATTTATTACAAACAAAAACACACACATATAAATACTCAAAATAACAATAATCAAAGAAAAAAATGAATTAAAAAATATAATGATTGATATTTAAAAAATTCCCTTTTCTCATTCGGTTAGTTTCAAGTGTGTAATGCGTGTGTGCTGTGTCTATAATTGGCCCTGGCTCAGCATTATGCTGAGGAGCAGAATCAGTTCTACAGCGCTGGTCATTCTGTCAGAGACCACAGCAGCTAGATTAATTAAACATAACCTTCCTCAGGAATCACACTATAGATAAAATTTACAATATACAAGGATAAAAGGATTCATAGTAATAAATTAATAATTTTAAAAGAGCGTATATTACGAATGACCAGTAGATAACAGACAATAAAGTGTAACAAAACTGAGCCTCTTTTTTCGTTGTTGAAAGTGTAGTGTCATCGATAATTAGCTGTGTACATGTGTCAAAATTAGAAACTTAGAGAAAGTACGTGACACGCCATTTTCAATGAATTTAGGCTAAGCTTGTTATCGTTACATAGAGGTGACGAGAGCATTACCAGTTACCACATTACTGATATCAATGATGTATAAGTTAAAATGTCTAATTTAAGGTATTTTCATTAAAATCCCTTGTGAAGTCAAAGCGTTCATTTGTAGCTCTGTTGGGGCGCCTTGTAATTTAGCCGCAGCACTCTTTCTCAAAATGAAATATTTTAACATAAATGGGTATATTTAATAGTTTTTAGTGTTCAGACGTAAAATAATTTAACTCAGTTACACTAAACAGTTACGAAATAAGATCTGTACAGTTGTAATGGACAACATCAATTTCAATACTCGTGTAAAACATAAGTATATATACTTAATCTACCCTTAGAAGTAATGCCTAATATTTGGAGTACATAAAATTATTAATTAAATATTGTAAAACACAGATATTATAACAGACGATTTTACTATCTACTGCAAGTCTAGCCGCAAAAGCTAGTTCTGTATACGAATTATAAGCTCATTATTCTATAACCAGTTATCGTGGCGCAATGGTTAATCATTCCCAGGGAAACGGGTTCAATAAATGTTAAAATAGCCTTGAGCAGCCGGTTCTGTATCCTGCGTATAACTTTAGAATTTGAAAAAAGTTGTTTTCGATACATTCGGAATGGAAGGTTGTATTACTGTTATTGTGCTATTTTTAATGTGGTTTTTAATTGGAGTAATTGCAAGAAATATCGAAAAAATAGTCCATATATGTAGTAAGCCAGGTTATATTTTAGGAACATAGGACAATAAAAAGTCGTAGACATTAAAACTTATAACATGAGGTATTATAAAAATATCGTATACGTACATTATTATGTTTCATATATTATGGGTGCAAAAAGTGGGCATTCATTAGAGGGCTTATTTTAAGATTTTCGTAGAGATATTATTCTAATCTGATTTGAAAGTCAGTTTTGTACGGGGATGATATTTTATTTTAAATACAAAAAAGGCACCACTTATTTAAATGGTCGAAATGTTTATTTACATTTGATATTTTTAAAACTATTTTATGTAATATCGCCTTATAATAAGAAATGTTGATATAACGTACGAATTCGTAAGTAAAAGCGTTTAAGGGCAAACTGAATAACTGATAAATAATTGTGTAATCCTTGAAAACCAGTTTCATATCCTGCCTTTGCGTGAACTATGAACGAGACGTTTTCAATGAAATATTACTTTATATATGTACGACTGACTTTGTCTGCGTATACCTATTGAAATGTATGAACAGGAACTAACTTTAAAAATTATAGTAAAGAGGCCGAGAATGATGCGAAAAGGAGACAATACTAGTTCGCCCGCGTGCCTTGAGGCTTATTAGAAACTTCGTACGCCGGTTCCTCGGAAGTAGTAGAGCCTATGTGTATATTATAAGTACAAAGTAATTGACCCCCCCCCCCAAAAAAAGGGGGGGGGGGGGGGGGGGGGGGGGGGGGGGGGGGGGGGGGGGGGGGGGGGGGGGGGGGGGGGGGGGGGGGGGGGGGGGGGGGGGGGGGGGGAGGGGGGGGGGGGGGGGGGGGGGGGGGGGGGGGGGGGGGGGGGGGGGGGGGGGGGGGGGGGGGGGGGGGGGGGGGGGGGGGGGGGGGGGGGGGGGGGGGGGGGGGGGGGGGGGGGGGGGGGGGGGGGGGGGGGGGGGGGGGGGGGGGGGGGGGGGGGGGGGGGGGGGGGGGGGGGGGGGGGGGGGGGGGGGGGGGGGGGGGGGGGGGGGGGGGGGGGGGGGGGGGGGGGGGGGGGGGGGGCCCCCCCCCCCAGGGGGGGGGGGGGGGGGACCCCCCCCCCCCCCCCCCCCCCCCCCCCCCCCCCCCCCCCCCCCCCCCTTGGGTGGGGGGGGGGGGGGGGGGGGGGGGGGGGGGGGGATGGGGGGGGGGGGGGGGGGGGGGGGGGGGGGGGTTTTTTTTTTTTTAAAAAAATTTTTTTTTTTTAATAAACAAAAAAAAAAAAAAGGGTTTTTTTCTTTTTTTGGTTTTTTTTTTTTTTGGGGGGGGGGGGGGAAGGGGGGGGGGGGGGGGGGGTTTTTTTTTTTTATGGGGGGGGGGGTTTTATATTTTGGGGGGGGGGGGGGTTTTTCCCAAATAAAAAGTACAAAGTAAGTACTTATAACACTATCAAAAGTTCTTATATTATTTTAACATAAATTTAAGATTAAAAAAAAGCTAACAAGAAAACTGAGATAGAACGGAATAAAACATACTTCCTTTGCACTGAGACCGTAGATGTAATATATGTATATGATTATAGTCTTTTATTAAAATGTATATAAAATTAGTTGCCCGCGATTTATGAGTGTTATAGAAACATAATTCGTTATTCTATTGTTTTT